AGGCTCAGGCAATAACATACATGGGTCCCAGGCCTCAAGAAGCTTGCTATAAGACATTGATGAGTACTTAGTGTTTATTGTTTCAGGGTGGATAGGAGAGTTCATAGGAGAGGAGGTTATAACAACTGGAATAAAAAGGAAAGCAGGACTTTTAAAGTCGGAGAAAATGGGTTTGAATCTCTGCTTCAAAGAGTGATGGCCAAGTGGCCTCAAGTCACTTGGTTCATCTCTCTGGGCCTCCGCTTCCTCCTTTGAGAACAGCATTTGATTTCTAGGGATGAGCAGATCAGTGGCAGCCCAAATGACTAATTGAAGATTTTGGTTTTTAAAAATGTACGTATTTTGTTATCAGTTGGTCTCTTGTACCAAGCTGTGAAATAAAAATCATTTGATCATAGCCCTGCTTGAGAGAAGCACCTGACATATACCATTCATATGGGCCAAAATCCTAAAGGAATGCTCTGGACAAAGGGATGGCCTTTGTCTGTTATTTGTACAGCTGGCCCCGGGCCTGAAGCTGCCACAGCCACAGCGGGGAGGCGGGGATCTGGTCTGAGACTGGGTGCCAGCCGGCCTTTGAGTAGAGAGAAGGTGGCCTGGTGGCTTCACCTGGCATGCCCGTTTCCTCAGCTGTCAGCCAATTGTTTCTGGAGGCAGTGAATCTGCTCTCTGACTTCACTGTCTCTCACTGAAAGTAGTAAACCACAGAGGCCATTCCAGGTCCACAGTAGCATCAATAAATAAATAAATAAATAAATAAATAAATAAATAAATATAAAAAAATAAAAAGTCAGGGCACCATGTATGAGAGCCAGTCATTCCACTGGGCATGCTTTTTTTTGGTGTTGGATTGAATGCTGTGTAGCATTCATTGTAGATCCCATTATGGTTCATGGGTAGAGGATGCATGTTAGTGAAGCATCCATACTGTATGAAAACTGCTGATTGAAATTTTAACCCTGCTATTTGGCTTCTGGAAATTTAACCTTCCCCAGTCAAGGTTATCAGTGCTGGCACCAGGCCAGGCCTCTGGTTGGGCTCTTTAAGAACTTGCAAAAGGGGATCGGAAACACTCCATATTTGGGAGACAAAGAAGGTAAAAATCATACAAATAGGGAGAATTCCTGCATGTTGGGGCCCAGAATTTGAGATATATTTTCCTGTGGACCCGCCCGTAATAAATGTAACTCCATTTCTCTAAGTATTACTTTGTTGTTCTTCAGTTTTCTAAAACATTAGGAGCAGAATATTTATTTAAAATCTTTTTTTTTCAAAGATAAAAAATTTCTGTGGTTTTTTAATGATTCTTTTGTTGTGGAAAGGCCTGTTTTGGGTCTGCTACCTATGCCTGTTTATCTTGAAATTAATCCTATTATCTATAATAATAAAAGCATAATATGCTAATAAGACAGGACAGCTGAACTACCTTCCAGACGACCTTCTGGACCTTTTCCCCCATTGACCCCTAATAGCCCGTCTGCAATCCCCCGCCCCAGGCCTTCACCACCCTATTGTCCATGGGATTTGCATATATGCATACAAGTTCTTTGGTTGATCTCTTCCAACCCACCCACCCTTCCCCGCCTTTTATTTATTTATTTATTTATTTATTTATTTATTTATTTTTAAAAATATATTTTATTGATTTTCCACAGAGAGGAAGGGAGATGGATAGAGAGCTAGAAACATTAATGAGAGAGAAACATTGACCAGCTGCCTCCTGCACACCCCCCACTGGGGATGTGCCCGCAACCAATGTACATGCCCTTGACCGGAATCCAACCTGGGACCTTTCAGTCCGCAGGCCGATGCTCTATCCACTGAGCCAAACCGGTTTTGGCTGCCTTTTATATGACTGAATGACATGGGATTATTCTCTCCATTGTGGGGATAAATTACTTACACAACTTGGGTGAATGAGCAGTGACTATTTCGAAGATTGGTATTGGGGAAATTTTCATGAGCAGGTTTCTGACAGTTTCATGCTGTTGTAGAAGGTTTAATGTATTTCTTTACATTTTTATCCTATAGAAAAGTGCCTGTTAATATGAAAACACAGTATTAAATATAAAACAATGAAGTCTTCCAAAGTCCGTTGAAATGTAGGCATGTAGTGTTTTACAGTAGTATTTACAATTGCAAAGTAGGGGTTGTATTTGCTATTTAATACGAGTTTAATATGGTTGACACTAAGGCACAGAAAGGCCCCTGTCCTATTCAACAACGAAGGACATCAGCTTCACTGCATTCAGAGTCCTTTGCTCAGATGCTCTGCTCCTGGGGGCGGAGCCATCCTCACAGGTTCTCAGAGCGGCTCTCAGCCAAGCCCTGGGGATGGATTTCAGCAACAGGAGGAAGCTGCTCCTTCCCAGTTACTGGGACTTCCGTTGGGGTAGGGGGTGGGCTCTGACTGAATTACTTATTTTTTAAATTTGTCTTTATTGTTGAAAGTATTACGAATGTCTGTTGTTTTTTTCCCCATTGACCCCTCCCACCCCACACCCACCTCTCCCAGGCCTTCACCACACTATTGTCTGTGTCTGTCTTATTTTATTAAGCATTAAGTAGCACCAAAAAGAAAAAAATTAAACATAAAAAATTTTAAAAAATAAAATAAGTCAGGGCACCATGTGTGAGAGCCAGTCATTCGACTGGGCATATTGCTCTCTACCTTTCTTACCATCATGAGGATACAGAGATGATCACAGGAACAGGTGAGAAGTGTTATTAGAGAGGTGTCTTGGACAGGCATCCGATTCTGAAGGGATTCTGAAGGGTGTGGGGGTGAGGACAGGAGATGGGGAGTTTTTCCCTGGGGCATTCCCTGAGATAACTTGGGGGTAGGGGTGAGAAGGAACACTTCTGGACAGGATACCACAGACTGTGAAGCAACAGCTTGTTCAGAAATGCAAGGAAGTTGGTGTAGCAAGCCAGGGGCAGGGAGGAGGAGGGGGTAGGGAGGAAGAACTTAACACAGACAGCCATTCCTGATTTATTTCTCTGAGGACAACTCTTTCTCAGGTCAGATCACTTTGCTGTACTGAATGGAGGGCCATTATTCTTACACTGCGTTCAACATTCCTCTCCTTTATTTTCTTTCCCCTCTGAAGTTCTGGTAGCTCACTGGATTTGGCCTTGCATGTCTAAAATGAAACACACTGGAGAGATTTATAGCCAGTTAATTGGCTGTCTCTTCCTCAGTTACCCTTGTCTGTTCAAATGTGCATTTTGTTGTTCCTAAATAATACAGCATTCACAAAAGGTAATGTAGGCATTTTTGTATAAATTCCATGTAAGACAAAAAGATAATTTCTAAACTTAATGAAAAAGCAGTTGTTGTTGTTTTTTTTTTTTGCTGAGCCTTACATTTAGGAAAAACAAGAACTTTTAACTTATGTTAATTAACTAACCAAGTAAGATTAATGAACACCGGCAGGATAAGGCCAGCTGAAGTCATTGTTTATTCTTACTTTCAGGCTGTAGCTTAGAAGTTTTGCACTATCTAAAGTAAAATGATTTGCCCTCAAAATGCCCCTGAATGATTTATGGCCATTTTATACTTTATTGTTATTTTTTTTAGCACATAATTATACATTTAAACTTTCTTGAGAATTCTAAGCTTTTAGTAGTTTTGTGGATAGCTCAGTAAATAGCAGCTATTATATAATGATGAAGGGAGCCTGGGACAGGACAGGGGGCAGGTCCCCGGGCAGGGGAGGGTGCTCCTGAGAGGCCGCCTGGCTTCCTCCAGGACAGAGAGCAGTGTCTGTAAGGGGCAGTAATGGAGCATTCATCCGGTGGATCTGTCCACCCCACAGTGCCGAGGCAGCAGGGAGCAGGAGCTGCTCACCTCTGTGCCAGCAGTGTTCCCACTGTGGGTTCCTGGGAGAACTGAGCTCAGGAAACTTCTTCCCCTGGACTAAGAGATGACCTCTTGCCGAAACCGGTTTGGCTCAGTGGATAGAGTGTCGGTCTGTGGACTGAAAGGTCCCACGTTCGATTCTAGTCAAGGGCATGTACATTGGTTGCTGGCACATCACCAGTAGGGAGTGTGCAAGAGGCAGCTGGTCGATGTTTCTCTCTCATCGACGTTTCTAGCTCTCTATCTCTCTCCCTTCCTCTCTGTAAAAAATCAATAAAATATATTTAAAAAAAAAAAAGATGACCTCTTGGATCATGGAAAGTAAGATTGGGGAAACACAACCTCACACAGACAGCCTACTTCACACTTACAAGAAATTAAGTGAAAGCAGCTACAAATAAATGTTTCCCCCTCAAAGGGCAGATGGATCATTAGCCATCTGACATAAGGAACAGACCTGGCAGTTTTCTCCCTGCTCCTAACTTTTATCACTAACATAATGGTGATAAGATTTTTATTATTTTTAAGTTCCTGGCTTCACCAAATAGCTCAAGACTTATAAATGCCATCCACAAAATGAAAGTAATAAAAGAACTATTATCAACTTACAGATAAGTGTATGTATCTAAGGCAATTCAGATTTATTGTAGTGCTTAAATCCAGATTGAGACAGTGTTACTGTTTCTTATTTTTGTGACGAGTTAATCATTTGTGTTTCTATATCAGAGTTTGCTCAACCTCTAATTCTTCAATCTTCTGTAAGCCCCAGTGGTCATATATTTGTATTAGAAGACACTACGTAAGAATAAGCCCACCTCCTTTTTTTGTTTTTTGTTTTTTTTTGTTATATAAGAATCTCCTTTCTTCCAATAGAAAATTCTTTTTTTTTTTTTTAATATTTTATTGATATTTTACAGAGAGGAAGGGAGAAGGACAGAGAGCTAGAAACATCAATGTGGATGTGAGAGAAACACTGATCAGCTGCCTCTTGCACACCCTCTACTGTGGATGTGCCCACAACCAAGGCACATGCCCTTGACCGGAATCGAACCTGGGACCTTTCAGTCCGCAGGTCGACGCTCTATCTACTGAGCCAAACCGGTTTCGGCCCACCTCCCTTTTTAATCTTCCTTCTTAGGGTCACCCGGGACCACCAGGGCCACAGGGGCCTATTGGACCGCTGGGACTGCCAGGACCCGCTGGGATTCCAGGAGAGAAAGGGATGAGAGGGGACGGCGGCCCTCCCGGAGCAGCAGGGGATAAAGGAGATAAGGTAAGCCTCTTCCTGAGGGAAAGCTGCCCTTAGCCACCCTCCAGCACTGCTGTGCCAGACTTGTTATAATCACAAGTAGGACCTGCTTGTGCCTTATAATAAATTAAGTCTAGACTCCTCTTCCATAGCAGCCCCACTTCCCCAGCCCCTCCAGAGAAACTTGTTTATCTGGATCTTTTCTCTGCAATTAAATGCATGACAGCACCCAGCGGGGAGTTGTACCGGTTCATGGCTTAAAAAAACACACACACCTAAATGATATTATGTGTACCATACTGGGCATTTTTTTTTTAACTCAACCACTTCACCATGTGACTTAAAAGATCATTACATATCAATTTATGTCGATTGAACCTATTCCTTTAAGAAAACTGTTTAATATGCAGTAGAATGGATAAAGAAAACAATAGTTTCTTCCTTGTTGAGAATTTGAGATCGCATAGAGCAGGTGTGTAGAGCAGGTGTGAGAATTACCTGCTCCTGTGATCCTGTGAATTACCTGCGCTCACATTTAAAAGTTTGCTTCTCCAGGGTTGGGAGATTCTGAGACGTTGAATTCTGAGCTTATAGGGCACTCAATGTTTTCTTTCAATCAATGCTGCAAAGTTGGCTTCCTTAGAATAAAAAATATGACCTGGCTGGTTTGGCTCAGTGGATAGAGTTTTGGCCTGTGGGCTGAGCGGTCCTGAATTTGATTCTGGTTGAGGGCATGCCTGGGTTGCTGGGGCGGTCCCCAGTGGTGGATGTGCAGGAGGCAGCCAACCAATGATTCTCTTTCATCATTGATGTTTCTATCTCTCTTTCCCTCTTCTGTCCTCTCTGAAATAAATAAAAAATATATTTTTAAAAATTTATGAAAGGTTAATTCTTAAATATTGGCATTTAAGTGTGTGTGAAAATAGGTAACCATGACTGCTAAGGGTTAAAAATAATGAGCATTATTTATTTAGGTTTTTGAGGAAATTATCTTGTTAGTCTAATCACTTAGTAACTTTTGTAACTTTGTTTTATCTTCTGGAATTTTAGGGTCCCACTGGTGTTCCTGGATTTCCAGGTTTGGATGGTATACCTGTAAGTATCCCTACATTTTCTCCACTTTTTCAAACACTCCTCAAAACCCTTAAAATCATATGTTCAAAAAATATATATGCACATGTCTACTCATAATGACAGTTTTTATTTACTGACAAGTCCTAACTTTTGGAAGTGTGTTTAAGACTCTCATTTCTAATATGAAAGCCACATGAAAGAAAGAAGAGGTATTTTGAGAAGCTTTACTAGTCATTAAAGTCTTTCTAAAATTTAAAGGAAGGTTTCCTCCCAAATCTCCAGAATACTCCAAACTGAATGAATTTATATTGGGGGCATATTACAATTTACTTATTGATTTTTACTATGCTACATAGCACTGTGGCTGGGGACGAAAGTTTCACAAAATTAAATGGTATGTGAGTCATTATTGCCATAATTTGGGTACCCATGCTGCATAAACCTTGTCTTATAGTATTCTTGCAAAAACAGTGCTTCACTTATCATTTTGTTTCCTATAGGGGCACCCAGGGCCTCCTGGATTCAGAGGTAAACCTGGCATGAATGGCTACAATGGCTCAAGAGGTGATCCAGGGTTTCCAGGAGAAAGAGGAGCTCCTGGCCCAGAAGGACCCCCAGTAAGACACCCACAGCTCATCCTAACTGGAATCTTAAGTGAAAGGCCCCACAGTGGGAACAGGCTTGGTGTGCTCAAGAAACAGTTAATACAAGTGTGGGGGAGCATGGTGAACAGGTGGGGCAGCTGGAGGATGAGGACAGGGGTGGGAAGGACCTAGGACACCTGAGGTCCTGTAGGCTGTGGAAGGAGGCTGGGTTTTCTTTTCCAGGCCATAAGAAAGCTCTGGGCGGTTTTAAGGGAGGAAGCGATATGACCTGATGGATGTGCCATTAAGATGCTCCTGGCTGCTATCATAGGACCAAAGCTTATGTTGTTTATCATTCAGGGTTCACTGCAGACCTGTGTGTGTGAACTAGCAGATGTGCAGGAACCCGTGACATCAGACTTTGAATGGAGTGATGTGATCAGTCAGTGGTCATGATTCCCATGTCACTTAGGGGTGATCTGCCGACCCATGAGCTAGCAGTGAAGTTTGTGCTCCATGCAGTTACTCAGTTAACACAGTGGCAACTGGATTTTGAACCATTTAGTTGGAGGACTGGTGCTCTTTTACTCAAAAGGGGACTGAAATCTCTGCCTATTGGAACTATTGGGAAAAAGGACTGCAATCTGATTGCGCAAGGGAACTGGTGCCATTAAACCAGGAGTCTCTCCCATTGGAAGCAAAGCCAGGCACTCTTCCAAGAGGGGTCAACTTTGACTCTGCATGTCTTTTGTGGGAGTTTGATATATGAAAATGGTTAACATTTTTATATAGTAACCAGTTGAGGTATATCAATATATGGGATATTAAGAAACCTAATGTGGAAACTTTTGGGGGGAAAAGAATACACTGAGGTATTTTATTCACTTTTTAAAAATACCCTAAATAAACATGCGGCTACATACAAAATATTTACAAAAGGAATATGCTGATTTTTAAAAGTTAATCTTATAAAGGATGCATAGGCTCTATTTTAAGTACAAATAGATTTTGTTCTTAATAGATTTTAACTGAATATTGAATGACTATAAGAACTTTAAGGTAATAATGACAATGAAGGGAATAAAGAAATCTTCACTAGTGAAATATGACTCTAATGGTAATTTTATTGGTGAGTAATATTTCACATGGGAAATAAAATGCTAAAATACTAATGTGCTTTTCTCCACTGTTAAGTGAATGTTTTATTTTCAGGGCTTTCCTGGGGAAAAAGGAGAAAAAGGAAATTCAGTGTTCATTTCAGGTGGCATTAAAGGTAGTCAGGTAAGCATTCTGATCATGGTGGCTTTAAAATATTTTTCCCCAAATAGGTAAACCCATACAGGAAACACACGAATTGAGATTCCCTTTGAAATGTTCCTGAGCATGCTAGGTTTTTAAAAAACATATTGATTTTTAGAGAGAGAGGATAGAGAGATAGAAATATTGATCAGAGAGAAATGTCATCAATCAGCTGCCTCCTCCATACCCCCTACTGGGGATTGAGCCCTTCACCTGAGCATGTGCCCTGATCAGGAATTAAACCAGTGACCTTTGGTTCATGGGCTGATGCTCAACAACTGAGCCACACTGGCCAGGTGGCACGCTGGTTTTTATTTGCACCCTGGCCCTCTGGATGGCACCGTTCTTCTTGTGTGAAGCACTTGGCTTTAGCTACTCTGGCTGTAACATTCTAACACATACCTCTCCACTATTTTTTGCAGAGTGGCAATGGAGACACCATTTCAGGGTTTCTCAACCTTGGCACTATTACATTTGGGGCCAGATAGTCACTTGTGTGAGGCCTATGGACTATAGACTATGAAACAGTATCTCTGGCCTCTACCTGTTAGATGCCAGTAGCAACCTCCACCCATACAATATCTCCAGACATTACCAAGTGCCCCATTGGGAAGAAAAATTACTCCCAGTTGGGAAGCATTATTTTATTTGTAGTTAAAATGCGATATGAACACTTGCATCCCAATGTACTAGAAGTCATCACTTTGATTGAACTGAAAAATTATGGAAACCTTATAGTACTCTCCTTATAGTACTCTCAGTAAACCCACTGAGGACTGAATGGATAAACAGAAAGTGGTATATACATACAATGGAATATTGCTCAGTCTTTAAAGAGAAGAGTACCCTGGCTCATGTTACAACATAGATGAACCCTGAGGTCATTATGCTGAGTGAAATGAGCAGGTCACAGAAGGACAAATAATGTGTGATTCCATTTATATGAGGTTCCTAGAGTACTCGGATTCATAGAGACAGGGCATGGAAAGGTTTCTGCCAGAGGCTGGGGAAGGGGGAGGGGGTATTAGTATTTATTGTGAACTGGAAAGAGTTTACCTCGGGGAAGATGGAGAAGCTCTGGGGAAGGATGGTTATGATGGCTGCACAACATTGTGAATGTACTTAATGTGACAGGACTGTCCACGTAAAAATAGCTAAAATGTAAACTTTTATCTTGCATTTATTTTACAATATGTTATATTTGACATTTGAAAAAGACCCTGCAGTCCCTTTGATTCTTTAGAGTAAGAGGAGTCTCAGGGCAGAGTCACCAAGTGGCAGATTCGCACACCATTCCCTTTACCTTTTATTCTAGGACAGTGGTCAGCAAACCATGGCTCTTGAGCCACATGCACGGCTCTTTGGCCCCTTGAGTGTGGCTCTTCCACAAAATACCACGTACAGGCGTGCACATACAGTGCAATTGAAACTTTGTGGCCCCTGCGCAGAAGTTGGTTTTCAGCTCTCAAGAGAAATCTCAATCGTTGTACTGTTGATAGTTGGCTCTGTTGACTAATGAGTTTGCCGACCACTGCTCTAGGATGGCCAACAGAGCAGGGTGTCTATAAAGGGAGGCAGGGTCTGGCACGTGGACTAGAGACAGGCTGTGATGAAAGGGGACCATTGCGTTTAGAACATTTTAAATCGAAAGTTGAAACCTCATCTTGACTCCACGTGCTCAGGACCACAGCACCTGCCTCTGGTTTCAGCTGAGTAGAAGCAGAATTCAGGCCTAAGATTGGAGGCCCACGATCCTCTCTCCACAGAGCCTCCACAGTTCTCTTCTCAACTGGGAAAAATTGAACAGACTGCGCATTAGGTCAAACCCTGGATGTGTGTCTACTTTTACATCACGTGTTTCAGGAAAAGGTGTTGCTCTGTTAAAGCAATGTGTCATTATTGCAGGGTGACCCAGGGAACCCAGGACCTCCCGGCTTACCAGTAAGTCTGAGCGGGCATGTACTTTTGTGTGATCCAGGTAGCCTCCTGTCCCCACAATTTGTATGTATTGCAGCAAGACCAGCTGAAAAACGTGTAGGACCCCCCACCCCCTCGCTCAGTGCAAAATGAACATGTAGGCCCCATGTTCAAAAAGCATGAAGAATGTCAGGATGGTGAGAGCAGAGCATGAAGTCAAGCACGAAACCTCATCTGACTGCACAGGTCACACCTGAGGCCGTCCTGGAACCTTGACAAGCTTCCAATTCCTCCTCTTCTATATTTCAATAATCATTTGCTGATGTACATATAGTCATTGATATTTAGAAGAGAAGTCTGCCCAGACACTAATATATGTCAGGCAGAAAGTCTGCTGAATCAGTCATTGCGTGTCATATTTAAAATTTAGGACCATTTTCATCTCCCTGAAATTTGTAACTCAATGATTATATTAGTCTTTCCATTTTACCAATGTTTACAAGATTACAACTTAAATCAGTTTCCACTTCACAGTTGTTAACCCATAATTATGCTTGGTGACTTCTGGCTGTAGACAAGAGTACTTAACCAGGTTGATTTCCTTCCTACCTCCAAAGCTTGGCTCTATGCCAGTGTTTCCCAAACTTTTGACATATGTGTACCCCTTCTATAATTTTCATAACTCTGAGTACCCCTCATACTCATGAGAATGTAGAATTAGGCACAGCTAAGCACGGTGCAGTGCATATCCCCACCAAACTCCGGGGCAACGCATACCCCCATTAAATTCTTCCCGTACCCTTGGGGGTACGAGTACCACACTTTGGGAAACACTGCTATGCCATTAATGAGATACCTTGATGTTGCTGTTCAAATAAAAACAAATGCATCCTCCTGAAGAGAACACTTTCACTGCACACTTGCAAATCATTTGGCCTGGGCAGGGTCAGTGGGAGAGCAGAGAGCTTTTCTCCACAGCTGTCCTTGTGGATCTCTGTAATCATGCCACAACTTACAGGTTACAGAAAGTTGACTGGTGGGTTAACCATCGTGATCACAAACTTGGGACAGCATTTCTATTCACACTGATCTGAAAAGGCACGCTTAAAAATATATTAAAGAATATAAATACATTCATATTTTCATATATTAATGCTAATTAATGTTAAAAACTAAAAAGCATCCTGCTGTATATCAGAGTTATATATAGAATTTAGGAGTAGCCAATAACAAGCTTCTTTGTTCTCTACCTATGCTATTACAACATTTATCTATAAATAAGTAGATTGATTGCTGATGTTGAATTTGATCCTGACATAGGAATTTGTCACACCTACATCCGAGGCAGAGCTGCTGGGAAGACAGCTGCTCCAGCAGAGGATGTGTTGGGACTGTGATTCCTTTGGAAGTTTATATCCACTTGGGATTACATGCAGCAATTGCTGTGAATGATGATTATGGATTTGGGTAAAAACTGCACTTGATTTTTCTCATGTTTAGGGATTAAGGGGTGCTACAGGACCAGCAGGCCCCATGGGATCTGCAGGAGAGCCGGGGTTACCGGTAAGTACAGCCCCACTCATGGTGCCCCTCTAAAAACCAAGTTCCACCGAAACTGGTTTGGCTCAGTGGATAGAGCGTCAACCTGCGGACTGAAAGATCCCAGGTTCGATTCCGGTCAAGGGCATGTACCTTGGTTGCAGGCACATCACCAGTGGGTGGTGTGCAGGAGGCAGCTGATTGATGTTTCTCTCTCATCGATGTTTCTAACTCCCTATCCCTCTCTCTTCTTCCCTGTCAAAAATCAATAAAATATATTTTAAAAAAAACACAAAAAAACAAAACAAGTTCCCATCGTGGGCTCTTTGAGAGGACATCACCTGATGAATAAGTGCACGCCCACTCCCTACCTGTGTGAGTCCATCAAGAAGCATCCTCCCCTTCCCCCCCGGAGGGGGTATAACAATTAGCCTCCCCCATGGGTGAAGCTCATGAGTGTTTTTAAGTAAATTAGAGGTTTCCTAAAGAGGAATTGGGACAACCAACAAAGACACATCTGATCTGCAATTGACCTGTGTTTGTGTGTTTTTGACATTGATTTAGGGACCTCGAGGACATCCTGGGAGTCCGGGTGTGAAGGTAGGCAGCCATGAGGAAAATAAACAAATAGGATCCAGGTACAGTGAGACTAAACGACCACTGATGTCTTTCCTTTCACTAGACTTCCCAGTGTATTTAATAAGTGAACTTCAAAAAATTTATTGGCCAGAAGTCTTGCTTGTAATTATCCCTGTAATATTCAAAAGCAATTCAATTAACTTTTTTTTTCTTTCTCAGGGCAATCCTGGCATGGGAGTCAAGGGGCAGATGGGAGACCCGGTAAGAACCCTGTAGCCTGGAGAGCAGATGTTGACATGTATGTGCTGCCCGAGTTGTGGAGGCTGTTCTGATGATCACGTAACTACGTTCATTGTCTTATTGCTGCCCAATGCAATGGCTGCAAACTTTTCTTTGCCGAATTATTATGGTACCATTGACTATAAAACGACATTTCTGACAAAATTAAACTCTAAACCGGAGTCCATTTATATGATACACTTCACCCCAGCAAGAAGAGAGTAAACATTTTATATTTGGAGTAGCAATTTTGTTTAGTTACTGATTTGCTTGCCTTAACTTTATAATTTTATCAAAATTCCAAGTTTTACACATAAATAAAAACATAAATAACCAGAACCAGAGCACTTAGCAATACACAATCCTCACTGCCTCTCTCACATTGACAGCCCTTTCCACTGAAACATGAATGTTGGCAAGACAAGCTAACATGTTTCAAAATGGCAGCTCCTTTGGCAAAAGCCTGAATGTGTAGCAGTTGGGGAATGGCTCTTTCAACAACTGTGGGCAAATAGTTCAGAAACTGGCATCTGCTCTGTGCCAGACCAGCACGGTGCTGGGTGTGGGGCTGTAGCAGGACGGGATGCCCTCTCTCAGGGAGTCCCAGTCTGGTTGGGTGTGTGTGGTACAGCCATTTAGCAAAGTGTCACGTTGCCGAAGACATATTGGAACACTTCCTGATGTGGGGAGGCGCCTATGGTATAATGTTGAACAGAAAGTACAGGTTACAAAAGTGTACTCTCAATTTTATAAAATCTACAACAATATCAAGAGGACTCTAAAATATACACTTATTTTAATGGATATTATCTCTAGGATGGTAAGATTATGGGGCACATTTATTTTTTAAATTTATGTTTAACAAGTGTGTATTAGTTATGAAAAACAATAAATGTTTCAAATGACATCATTTATATGTCATGGTTTTAGTTTTAAATCCATGACATACGGATTTTAGCATTACATCACAATCCATGGGTGAAAGTCTTTCTTGTACTAAATTTTACTTCAAAATAAAGTTTATATGAAATTCCTATTATCTTGATTTTTTTTTCCCAAGGGTGAGGTTGGCCAGCAAGGTTTTCCTGGACCGACCCTACTGGTACAGCCACCTGATTCTTGTCTCTATAAAGGAGAAAAGGTAATTCCCAGTCCCTGTGTTACTTTGGTAAAGTGGTGCTAGCCACCACTGCCTGGACATGTACCTGAGCCAGCCAAGTCCTGAGCACCTACACCCATCACTGCATTAATCCCAACCCCACCTTAACAGGTTTGCACAATTAGCCCCCTGTACAGAGTTGGAAAATGAGGCTTGAAAAGATTACCAGTGTTTTTCAAGTTTACCCAGACCTAGCTTGGGCTGCTCATCTGTAACATGTCCTTCATCACATATGCCCTATTAATATTGTCTTTGGTATGTGGGCTGACAAAAACACTGTAAGTCCAGTTGTCTTTAGATGTTACATCTGGGCTTGATGTTTTGATGATAGAAAAGGAAACTGCTGCCTAGAACTGGGCACATAATACACTCTTGGTAAGGATCAATTCCTCTGTTAGCCTCCAGTGCTGATGTTATGGATGTCACATGCAGGCTCTGTTGATGATGTTCAATTACTGGATTAAATTTTACTAATTGGCTCAAAATGAGGCATTCCTCTCAGTGGCTGCATTCTCAACGTGCATCTGTTGCTGTGGTTCCGTGGTCATTCCCCACCTGTGCCCCAGAAATCACACCTCTCATATAGAACTGGCCCGAACAGTGTCCGGCTCATAGGTGCTCCCGGACCTTACTTACTAATTAACGACAGTTGAAGAGTAATTTCTTATTTAAAAAATTAATACAATGGATGTTTAAAGGCAATTTCTGAGATGGAATTCAATGGGTTAAATAATAACAATAAACCAGATTACATTCATTATGACTTTTAGGGTGTAAAAGGAATACCTGGGATGATTGGACCTCCAGGACCTCCAGGACCCAAGGTAACTTATTGAAGTCACTTTTAAATAAATCTGTATGATGTGCTATCTTAATTTTTTAAATTGTATTCTTTATCATTGCTTTAAATGTCAATATATGTTACTAGAATCTGTCACTATTTTATCATAATCCTGTAGGGTTTCTATTATAAAGCGTTGATTTCTTTAACTTGCTGGCAACAGTTTTTATTTCTCATTTTGTGTTTGCATTCTCTATTGCTAAAATATTGTTGTTTGAACCCCTGTAAATGCCATCTTTCTAAGGGAGAACCTGGTTTTGGGGAAAAAGGAGAAAAGGGCATCCCTGGCTTCCCAGGCCCTCGGGTAAGGATCGTTCATGCCACCCTTAACTTCAGTGAGTATGGAGGCATTTCTTTCTTACATTTTTATAAAACTAGATCACTGCTTCTGAGAGCTCAAGAATGGGATTATTTCAAATATCAACAATAGATTTTTGGCAACAAGAATTGGGTAATAGCTCAAAGTCCCAGAACATCCCTTCTATTGATATCATTTAGATAAAAGTGGCAAGCAGGAGATAGAAGAATTGGAGGGAAGTACCAGGATTGTGGCATTTCCTGTCTGGCTCAGTGTCAGTGTGATAGTAGCTTGGAATTGTTCATTTAATCTTATTTGATAAAAGGAAGTACTGATGTAGGGGCAGGAGCTAAAAAAGAAGCACAGAATCAGGCCTCAAACATCACCCCACATGTCACTAATGTGGTCCCCATTCCTAGAGTGACTATCGACGCAAGACCCTGTGGGCATGGGTATTGGGTTTATTTGGCTCTAGATTTAGTGCTGAGTGGGACAAAATTGGATTCCATGGTAATTTTTTTTGCTGATAATGCTTAGAGCAACTATTAACCTGTAGGCAAATTATATTGCAATGATGTCAAAGATTTTTAGACCAATGCAAGCATTAAGTTAAATAAACTAAAATGGAATAGTAACAACAACAAAATATGTTTTTTATTTAAAGCACTGGTGAGGACATACATTTTTTAAAATAAGACTAAAGACCAATTAAAATAGTAAATGTGGTAGAGAAATGAAATCTACTTTATATTTATTTTCTTTTATTCAAGAACCTTAGTGGATAAGATGAACTATGCCTGGTGCAATCCCATCATGAGAAACAGGATTCCTTGAGCTGGTGGATGAATTTTAATTTAATTCACTTTGTGTCATTTTTTGTTTGAATTTATTAGGGTGTCCCTGGCTCCCATGGATCTCCAGGCTTTCCAGGATTAAAGGTAAGTGCACAGCATAGATATGATAAATACATTTTCATTAGTAAATGCAATTGTGTGTCATTCAAAAGTTGGACCAGTGCATGCAAACACACATGCAGAATTAGAAAAGGAGACACATTCACTTTATGAAATTACATGTTTTAGCTGTGGGTGCAAAGACTAAAGCACAAAACTGTTGCAACCCCAAAGTAGTGTTTAGATATTAAGATTTTGCACTGAATCTCTGTGAGCGTGCATCACTCAAATGAAATGACAATGAGATAATTTGTCACCTAATTACATGTTTTATAAAAGGCATGTTTCTGGTTATTTATAGGGCAAACAAGGACTGTTTGGAACTCCTGGGTCATTTGGATTTCCTGGTCCAAAGGTAAAAACAGTGAACCTGTTAGAGTATCCCCCTAACAAAATTCCACATCCCTTATGTTGTACAATATAGGTTTTTTAAAATATTTCAAAGAATGATTCAAAAATGTAACTTTTGAAAGAGACAGAGTTAATTTTGTATGCATTATTTTATTGCATGTTGTAATGATTACATTTTATACTTGAGCAATGATCCTTTTGAAAGTTTAAAAAATTCCAAGGGGATCATATGGCATCTCGATTAAAACCAGAGGGAGCTGTGGAGAGCTCTTCGCTTTTACCACCACTGAATTGTTTCTTTGCAACCTCTATGACCTTACATTCAGCTCTAGCCCAGGACAAGCCATGGTAGCACTTAGAGTCCACAATGAAGGGGATCATATTTGCTGTTAAAATAAAATGTGGATTCAGCTCCTGTAGGTGAATAATTTGAATTGGTCTTGAATTTGTCCTAGAGTGTCAAATCAGACATTAATGCTCATGATATATTTAAGAAACTTTATGGCTTCAGAGGTATCTAATTTATGAGAATGGAATAACTTTATTGGAAATAAAAACATTTTCTTTTTTTTTGTTAATCCTCACCTGAGGATATTTTTTTTCCATTGATTTTTAGAGAGAGTGGAAAGGAGGGGCAGAGACAGAAAGAAACATTGATGTGAGAAACATCGATTTGTTGCCTCCCATATGTGGAGAGTGAGTGTGCCACCTAGATACATGCTCTTGACTGGATTCTAACACAAGACCCTTTAGTCCATTGGCCGATGCTCAAACTAGTAAGCAAAATTGGTGAGGGCCATTTTATTTTCTCTTGAGATAACTTTTCTAGTTGGTTGGTTATTTCTGCATTTAGGGAAGAGGCTGAATGCCTGATTTTCCTAGAGGTCCATGAACTATCTGTTTCTCTAGTCTGCTTATAGTCTTTATTTCTTACATGAATGGACTCTTGGTCCTTATAATATTTATTTAGTGCTAAATACACTGGCTCATGGTAATATTTGATGAAGAGCCTGGGAAATAATCCTACGAGAAAATATCCCTATGTCTAAGAAAAGTTAATGAATTAATGATTCTAGGGGGATCCCGGAGACCGCGGGTACCCAGGACCGCCAGGGGTATTGACGACTCCACCTCTTCCACACAAAGGTTTGTGTTTCATTTAGGTCCTCCATTAATAATGTGGAAATGGGATTTGAGTATCCCTAACAGAGGAATATGGCCCAGTATTGCTATGGTTTGCAGGCTAAATAAGTGAACTTCAGCGTGAATCTATAATTATACAAGTGCAGGTAGAGATGTGCATCTTGGTTAATCTCTAACAGCAGATGACATCAAATTTTATTTTACTATGTACACTGTATGCTGGGATTTTTTTTTTTTTTTTTACTATGTCACCTTTCAGAGCGTAGGGTATTTTAGCTATTAAAATATATGTAAAACCATTTGACTTAGACCTACCAAGATGGCACCTGTCAGACCAGAGCGGCCTAAATCAATGACAGACAGCGCCACTCCAAGGTCACACATCTGCAGACCAGATGAAAGGCTCATATCTAAGACATAACATTTAAAATGTGGAGGGAAACTGTAAAGCAGTCTCCTAGTTGTATTTCAGCAAGTGTCACAGAAAGTACTTGTGTGTGAATTTTAAAATTTAGATATATGTTTATTATGTCAAAAATGTCATTCTTTTTGGCAGGTCCTCCTGGGGACCCAGGTCTCCCTGGCCGCTTTGGAGAAAAGGGGGCTGTTGGGTTCCCCGGTCCCCCCGGCCCCTCAGGTCAACCAGGGGAAACCTGTCCAGGTATGAATCCACTGGCTGTAAACCAGGTCTGCTACATCCTCCTCTGCACTGGAGGTTTTCAACTCTAGCTGACACTGACTCACCTTAGGAGTGTTTCAAAACACTGAGGGCTATCTCTACCCCAGACCAAGAATGTTGGACTCCCAGGAGCAGGGACCCAGGCATCTGCTGTTATTAAAGTGCCTCCTATTTTTAAAAAATATTTTATTGATTTTGTACAGAGAAGAAGGGAGAGAGATAGAGAGTTAGAAACATCGATGAGAGAGTCATCAATCAACTGCCTCTTACACACCCCCTACTGGGGATATGCCCGCAACCAAGGTACATGCCCTTGACCGGAATTGAACCCAGGACTCTTCAGTCCCCAAGCCGAAGCTCTATTCATTGAGCCAAACCGGTCTCGGCGTGCCTCCTATTTCTAACGGACAGCCAGGGGTCAGAACCACACACTCCACCCAGTTAATCACTTGCTTGGAAGAAACCCAGGTTCCTGGGCTGCACTTCAGAAATATGCAGTCAAGGTCTCAGGGGTTTGGTGAGGAATGTGTCTGCATAACAGGCTTCCCAGGACAGCATCACTTGCAGACGAGATCTGGGAACCATGATAGGCTTCCCTTGTTTATTTGGGTCTTCTCCATGCTCTTGGAGGGCTTTCCTTTTGATACCTAATTGTCAAAATTGACTTCGTCCATCTGTTTCCAACTTAAATTTCCCACGTGAAATATGGAAATACAAATCTCAAATTAAAAAGTAAAATTTTGATTCAGTTTAAATTACACACACACACACACACACACACACACACACACAGCAAAACAACAATCTTCCTCTTTACCTCCTCAAAAAAAAAAAATCCATATATATGCTTTTCTCTTTTCTCTCTTTCCTCCAAGGGGAAACTAGATTCATGAAGGATTAAATAAGAAGGCTGGAACTAGCAGTTGAATATTTCAGGAAACTTCTTAATCCTCCTGGAAAATATAATAAGAAACACAGACTACATGGAATTACATTTATTCAAGACTGTTCCTCTCACATGTTTAATCAGTTCTCCTAGGCTGTCAGAATGCAAATATCCTCTACATTTCTGTCCCTAATCTTACTTAGGAATAGTAACCAGCACAACACTTGAAGGAGTTCCAAGTCCTTAGGTCAATAGAACTATTTCCCAGGCCCTTCATCAAATATTGCCATGAGTCAAGCGCCTCCCTCCTATATCTCTCCTATAGCCTCAGGCCTCCTTGTGGGTTTATACTTCACTTAGGCTGGCTTCCTTACAATGCGGTGGCATTGGCACAGTGGGCTTGCTTCTATGATGGTCAGGACTTCTGGTCCAAGTGTTTCAGCTCACATGGCATAAACGGAATCACATTTAATAATCCAGCCTTGGAAACCATTGTGCCACTCCCACCGTGCTCCATGAGCCTCAGCAATCACAAACGCCTGCCACATGCAAAGGGAGGTGTGGGGGCCTGATGGCGGGGATCTCCCTTTTCCGTATTCTGCAGGGAGAGATGAAGGAACCAGTTCCTAGTGGAGGTGGCCAGGGATTGAGAAATAATAGAAATAAAGAGAGAAGACACAGAGATAGATTTTAAGCTGGGAGCTGGGAGGGCCACCAACCTCCTCTGCTGAAGAGACAGATGACGACCTCCTGAGCCACATAGCACATCTATTTATTCTCCAATCCAACAAGGGGTTTCACAGGAAAACAAGGAGCCTGGGAGAGCCCAGGTCCCACCCACTCCTTCCTCCTGGACAAACACAAGCCAGGAACTAAGAACAGCTCCATACAACCAGGGTGGGAGTGCAACTGACAGGACTCTGCCAATATCCCTGGCCAAGTCAGAAACAATTTAAAGAATATTCAAGTGTCTTCCCATTTGGCCCTCTACAGAGAGGAAACCTTGTGATGGGGAAAGTCAAAGTTCTCCAATAACATGAGGAACAGAGCACCACATGGCCATCTTTGAAAACTGCAGTCTTCCACAAAGAGATTCTAGAGCCAGGGTTGCTTAGGAAGACACGGCTAGGACAAGTGGTCACCGTCACACAAAGGCTTCCAGCAAAGCCACCAGAGAGGGAGTAGAATGTCAAGGGAAAGCAGGCTTTAGCTTCTGCTGCATTACTCACCTTGACCTCCTCTGAGCACACTGAAAACTAATCGTTCGATGAGCACGTGCTTTTGCCAGATATTGCACTAAGCTTCGCAGGTGGATTTTTTTTTTTATTTAATCTTCGGAACAGGCTTCTGAGACAGACATATAGGATTAAAGATGTTAAGTACCTGTTGCCAGAGAAGGAGAGAGGCCAGGTTCAAATTCAGCACCTCTGTGTTTCCCCACCAACCTAGATTGCCATGGTGCTTCATGTCCTAGATAGGTGGTTTTGTGAGTCCATAAAAGTATGGACTCTAAATGTGCTAATATGCTTATTGATATTATTTTTACCAAGTTATCAAGGTGGAAAGATTGAAATAAATAGCTTTAATTAGATCATATATATTTCTTTCCCAATAATCCTAAAGAATGGGAAAAGGAAAGAAAATCTGATTCCCCAAATCTGTTTGTTTCTATTTAACATGCTTGTTTCATAGGGGGTGAGGCATTTTGATGACAGGAATATTCAGTTATTTTTTAATTACATTTTTTCCCCTTTAAAGACTTCCTCAGTCCAAGGCAGAATGTACTGCTTTGATTTCTAACAGACACTTTTAATCTGAGAGTCTGTGTGGTTTTCATTCTTGGTTTCTCTTGGAGGCATGATGGGACTCCCTGGGCCACCAGGCTTACCCGGGCATCCGGGAGTTCCAGGGGCAGCTGGCCCTCCTGCGAGACCTGATTCCGCCCCAGGAAAACCAGGGGACCCAGGACCCCCCGGGCTGCCGGGAGCACCAGGACGTCAGGGACCTCCGGGATCAGATGGTAAAGTGCTCCTCCCTCACAGACATTAGCACTGATGTTGAACGTGATATCTATAGTGTCATTCAGAAAATGTGACTTTCTAAATATTTAAAAAATCTCTTCATATTTCCGAGCCAAGTTTTGTGGTATTAATACCACAAAAAATAAACTGATCTATAGTTTCAATGAAAGCACATGAAACTATTTGGTAGAGAATTTAAGTGTAATGATAGAATTTTGTAAGTTAATACAATTTGTGTTTTTGGTTTTTTTTAAACTTTTTAAAAAAATATATATTTTATTGATTTTACACAGAGAGGAATTGAGAGGGACAGAGTTAGAAACATTGATGAGAGAGAAACATCGAACAGCTGCCTCCTGCACACCCCCTACTGGGGATGTGCTCGCAACCAAGGTACATGCCCCCGACGGGAATCGAACCCAGGACCCTTCAGTCCGCAGACCGACGCTCTATCCATTGAGCCAAACCGATCCTGGCTGTTTTTTTTTTTTTTTTTTTTTTGTAATGTAGTTTGAATTTTTATCAGAACTATGATGGACCTGGCTTAGGATTCAAACAGTTCTATAATGCCAGTATGGTGAACTGCCATCCTACCCAACCCCTTCTCCTGTTTCTTCTTGCATCTTTGGTTATTTGTCTTTATGTTGCCATTCAATACTTGTATTGTTATTTCTTAATTTTTTGGTTTGAGCATTATCTTTTGCATTCCCTCTATACAAGATACATTTAACTCTCTTTCCCTCCCTCCCAACCACACATGTGCACACTGGAAAATATTGTTAGTATCCTAATTTCAGTTAAATAAATAAATACTCAGTGTTTACAATGAATAGTTATAAAATGCCATTGACCAATTCTGCCATAATACTATCTGTCATTATTTTTCTAGCATGACATTTTGCTAACAATTGTCTTGTTTTTTTGTGTGTGTTTGCTAATTCAACCTGAACCCACTTTGAATTGTAGAAATATCCCAATAGTACATTATAACTAATTAAATATTCTATCAGTGTTACCTCTTTAAATAAATCTCTCCTGGTGCTTTTGAGCTGTTCAAATTAGGTCAGGTTTTATTTTTAATCAACTGCTGAGATACTGTCTTGAGATCCACCTTCACAATTATTCTGGGCACTTCTCTTTCTCTGACTCTGTTTCCTATCACATATATTTCTTTCACTCATTTACTCTCTCATTATACTTCTTGAAAAAAAGCATGAATTTGGGGGATCTTACATGTCTGAAAATGGCATAATCTACTGTAAAATTTGATCAATTTTATACTAGTTTGGCTGAGTATAAAATTCTAGGTTGGAAATATTTTTCCTCAACTTTTTAAAAGCATTCTTCATTGTCTTCTAGCTTCCGGTGTTTTTTTTTTGTTTTTTTTTTGTTTTGTTTTGTTTTTAAAAATTCAGTAACATTTAGATACTTGACATTTGTTTGAAATCTGTTTTCTGTAAAAACTTATGAGTTTTCATGTCCTTAAATTTCACAGTGATTTACATTTTGTGTGTGTGCATTTGCATGTATTTGCTTGCATGTAGTGGGTACTTTCAATCCAACACAAATCTTCATTTTAAAAAATTATTAAACTATTTATTTGAAGCTATTCTATCCTCTCCTCACTCTCTGTTTTCTCTTTCTGGACTCTATAGATTTGTCAGTAAAATATTTGATCTATTATTCTTTACTTTTTATTTTTCTGTAACACTTTCTAGAAGATTTTTCTCACCTCTGTCTTTCAACTTTGCTCCTGCATTTTTAAATTTCTGCTGCCATATATTTTTTCCAATTTTCAAGGATTTTGTTGTTGCTTGTGTTCCCTTCTAATGGTTCCTTCTGCAGCAGGCAATTTATATTTCAGGGATAAAATGTCTTCTTTCACCTGCTTTAATAATTGCATGGTTTCTTTTAAAATTTTCTTCCCATTGCAGTGTTTTATGAAGCTTTGCAGGGTTGTTTTATCATGCTGCAATTTTTGAGAAAGAGATCTTGTTTGAGGCCTCATTGTCTACTTCAGAGGTTGCAATTCCTAAATTTTGGGAGGAATTTCTGATATAAATTGTGTTCTTTCTTCACTTTCCTTACTGCCTGCTTAGAATTCAGCTTTTTAAGGGTCTGCTTAGTCTTTTTATGTTTTTGCCATTGTTTCCTTTTCTTTAGTTTGAGGTTTATGCCTTTTTATAATATTCTTTCACTGTATGCTATTTTATTGGAGTTTGGAGAGAACAAGGAACTTACAGTTTGCATTCTGCATGTCATCCTTAATCAGGTATCTCTTAAGTTTTGTTTTCACAAGATCTGATTTATGTTTTCTTTGTTAGGTAATTATTGATAATTGGAAGGAAAACAATCCTTGTGATACACTTATTTTTAGTGTTTTGTTTGTTTTTTTGTTGTCCATTGCCTTGCTCTGCAATCCACTAATTAGTGCTGAGATTAGTGTGACTTTACCAAAGGTTATGGTGGCAGAAGCATACTGTGACAATTATATGTCTATTCTTATAGCAGAGAGAAAGAATCAAAAGAAATGAAAGAAAGAATGTGCTGAGGGGAAGATGTGAGTGCAAGAGACACTCCTAACTTGGCCTGTAGGAGACATTCATAAAACTGTGTGATTCTCTCTGCCCATCCCCTTTCCCACTGTAAAGTTATATATTGTAGTGTTGGACACCCTGGACCACAAGGACCAAAAGGCAAAATGGGTCCTCCAGGAAGAAGAGGCTCAAAAGGAGAAAAAGGCAAGTATGCTGCAAAGGTAGCATTCCCAGAAGCAACAGCATGTGCAGGATTGTGAGACACTTACCACGCATACAATGTGGCATTTCAGTTAGATTTGTTACTGCCCTTAGTTATCCCTGGTAAATAGTACACGTCATTATATGCTCATCCTGTGATTAGATCTTTTCAAAAAGTCAGCCCCTACTATCTTAGAGAATAAAGGAGAGACTTACCAGGAAATTTTTCTCAAAGTAATAGTTTTTCCACAAAATCCTCTTGATTCCTTTAAAGAAGCAGAGAAAGAACAGTATTGATCTTTAGTTTCCCTCTGTGGGACCCCTAATCCCCAGACACATCAAGTGTGTATGGCTCTGTTTCTCTGCCCTGACTTGTTCGGTACCTTTTTGACCACCTGAGTCAGGTGGATATGAGAGCTGAGGAGTTTTGACTATTATAAAGACACTTATTTTGAGATTGGAAGTCCTGATAATTACATTGTAGTGAGTTATCAATTGTAATGTTCAGTGCAGTCAATGTAATCCCTCTTCACATTTTCTTTTGCTTCTTTAAATGTTCAGGGTTTATGCTGTAACTGAATTTCTGTTGTTGATTCTTTAACAGGAATCAACCAAGAGATCTTTCCCCCCTATAGGAACCAAATAAGAGACAAACTTTTTTTTTTTAAAGAAGCTTTCTTATTATTAAAGTTTTGTAATTAGAATTGGACATCAGCTTTTCCCCTAGAATTCATCAGGGTGACTTTATTAAGATTCAAAATACCCCATTTGTATAGAAGTGATATATCCACCCCATTTAGCCCATGCCTAGGTACACCCCCCTCCCATGCCCATACCCCATAGCACACCTTATCAGTTCTGCTACAAGAATTATGCACATTAGACTCTTTTTATTTTCACGATTTGTTTTGTATTTTAAAGCCTTTATTGGGATTCTATTCAGGAATATGACAAAGCTGCCTTTTATCCTCTTTCTAGGAAATGAAGGGCTCTGCGCCTGCAAGCCTGGTCCCATAGGCTCGCCAGGCCCTCCAGGACTTCCTGGGAGGCAGGGGAGTAAGGGAGACCTGGGGCTCCCTGGGTGGCCTGGAGGAAGAGGTCACCCAGGCCCCCCTGGTGCTGAAGGATCTCCAGGGCCACCAGTGAGTAATTCTTACCAGTAACAATCTTTCTAGTTAAAAGAGTCAGATAGAATTCAGCGGGACCTGCTTCTATTATATTTTGTTTTGCGCCTTTAAATATATCAATCCCCCCAAATCATCTGTATTCATTCATTCATTCATTCATTCATTCATGCATCCATCCATCCATCCATTTGATTCATATTTATTGAGCACCTACTATGTTCTAGATATTATTGTAGGTGTTGGGGATGCAGAGGGGCCTCTACTCTGTTGGGAGGACATACACTATATACTAGTAACATACTGATGCATAAATATACAGTATGGCAGGTGATGATAAAGGCCAACGCCATCTGGTGTGGCTTGAGTGGACAGAATGAAAGGAAGAGCAGAAGGAGAGGAAGTCAAAGAAGTGGCTGGAGGATAGGAGGGTTGCTGAGCATGGGGCTTTGTGAGTGGGTTGGATTTGAGTATTTACTCTGGATGACACAGAACAGCCAGTGTTGAATTTTAAGAAAAGAAAGACATAATGTGACATTGATTTCCAATGGATCATCCTTGTGGCTCTGTTAAAAACAGACTGCAGGGGACAAGGGAAGAAGTAGGTGGATTGTGGCAACCATCCTGGTGCAGTATGATAGAACAGGGATTAACATGATAGTACATAAAGCACACGGGGTGGGGAGTGGTCAGATTCTGGATATATTTTGAAGGTAGAGCTAGAAGGTTGGCTGTTAGACTGGACATGGTACATGAAAAAAAGACATAAAGGATGAAGCTAAGATGTCGAAGACAATGTGAGGAGCAGGCGTGGGTTCATGAAAGGAAACAGTATCAATAGAAACATTTTGCATTTGAGATGCTTAGTGGGCAATCAAGTGGAGATGCTGAGTAGGCAAGGGGTTTGATATTCAAGTTGAGGATTCAGATCAGAGGTAGAAGCTGGAAATATAAATCTTGGCATTGTCAGAGTTTATGTGATATTTAGTGCCAGAGAGTGGATGAGGTGTATCTCAAAATGGCTCTCATTTGCATGACTTAGATGGAGGCATAGCCTTTCAGCTGTCCCTCAGAATAAAATCACTGCCCCTGGGACTCTCCCCTGGAGGCTGGAGACAGCCCTCCTTCCCCTCCTTGCAGAGAAGACATTTTTGTTGCTGCTGGGATTTTGTTGTGTTAACACATGTGTTTAGTGATCTCAGGTCTTAGAATTGTAAAGAGCAGCTGTTGATCCCAAAGTGGCTGGGAACCCCTCTACCCCAGGTGTTTTTTAGATTCAACATTTGTTTCCCTAGAGACTCAGTGCCATGAAGGCAGGGCAGTCTTTAATTGCTGTGTCCTTGAGTGTGGCTCTTCCACAAAATACCATGTGTGGGTGTGCATGTGCAGAGCGATTGAAACTTCGTGGCCCATGTGCAGAAGTGGGTTTTATTTTGAAGAAGTGACATTAGAACACTCAAGGGCCAAAGAGCTGCATGTGGCTTGCGAACCGCGGTTTGCCAACCACTGCCCTAGTGCATTGTCAAGACCAGGAAACAAACAAATTTCTATCGACTTGGGTATAGGCCTTATTCAGATCTAGTAGCTTTTACATGAAATTTGAGAACCTCAATTTTGTAAGGTAGGACCCATCTCATAAGTCAAGGAAGAGAATGAGATCAAATGTGCCAAACTAGAATCCAGAATAGGTGATTCGAAGGAAAAAAGAGAGAGATTAGAGACACACAAATGTGGGCAATCTTTGACCCCTCACAATTAAACTGACCCGTTGCTGTGATTTTTCACCAAGGGAAAACCTGGTGCCCCAGGACCACCTGGCAACAAAGGAGAAAAGGGAGACATGGCTGTATCAAGAGTTAAAGGTGAGCCTCGTTGATCACTTAACTGCCATCTTATGAATTAAATATGAACCACCCTCCTGCAATAATTTCTCCTGTGACCACAGATAGATTCTTTAATCAGATTTAGGATTATTGAAATTTCTTAAAAAATACTCTCTGTCCTTCACTAAGTCATGTGAATGTTGATCTTCAAATCCTCTGTCTCTTATCTGAAAACATAAGTGCTCCTTTAGTCACATTTTCAACTCTTTATTGTTGTGTACTTGGGTTTGAAACAGCCCTCCTTTAATGTGCCCAGTGTTTAGTCACTGCATTGTATTATCCTCTATTAATCAAGAGTATTTTGGCTGTGACAGAAATCCAGCTAGAAGTATTTTAAGAAGAAAAAGTAATTTATTGTTATCCTACCTGGTTTGGCTCAGTGAATAATAGAGTGTTGGCCTGTGAACTGAAGAGTTCTGGGTTTGATTCTGGTCAAGGGCATATGCCCAGGTTGTGGGCTCAACTCCCAGTAGGGGATATGCAGGAGGCAGCTGATCAATAATTCACTCACATCATTGATGTTTCTATTTCTCTCTTCCCTCTCCCTTCCTCTCTGAAATCAATAAAAATATATATTTAAAAAGTAATTTATTGGCTAATTAAACAAAATTTGAAGGTTAGATGTGGGGTTTACATAAGAAAACTGCATAGGAGACCCTTCTTCCTGCATCTTGCATATTTAATGAAATACGCCATTTACACCTTCCCCTCCCCAAGATTAGCTTTCTTTAGGCTAAGGGTAAAGTCCCAGGCAGCTCCAAATTCTTAACAACCAGATACAAAAGAGAGATCTACATTCTCTACTCTAGTTAGAAAAAAAAGATTCAGGAAGGATTGGACTGGCCTGGAGCAAGTGTCTATGGATCATCTCTCCGTTCCCAATGGCCAGGAGATAGAGGACCATGTTTGACATCACACAAGCAGGGGAAGATGCTGTTGTAATTGGCATCTTCATACAGTACCTCCTTCTCTAAATGGGAAGAGGAACGTTTCCCAAATAGAAGATTCAATGGTTTGGCAATTGTCATTCTCCCCTCTGATGTTTGCACAGTTGATTTTGTGTGACTTAGTCAACTGGGACACTCAGAGGAATCTCTACCAGCTCACACGGAGCCAAGGTCAAGCCTTTATCTTTAGTCCCAAGTCTTCTTCTATTTCACCCATTTCTGATAAGGGCTTGAATATCTTTGTGGCTTTTGTTCCCAGGGCGCAAAGGAGAAAGAGGTCCCGATGGGCCCCCAGGATTTCCAGGGCAGCAGGGACAAGATGGTTGGGATGGACATAATGGAGCAAATGGGGATCCAGGACCCCCAGTATGTATAATTATTCTGCTATCGAGTTTAACTTTCTTACATGGGCATGATAAATCTGTTTTCCTCTTCTCAATTTAAAAAGCTATACCTCAGTAAAATGTTAATATGCTGGAAATCAGAGACGCCTTTGATTCATTCCCACAAAAAGATGATTGTTCCAAAAGGTATGGCATCATGGCAGATGGTCTAAAATTTCTGTCTCTAGTCTTTGTGTCATTATTATGGTGGTTTTCCCCCTTGTATCTTCAAAGTCCCTACTGATTTGAGACTTGTTCAGCTGACTTTATCAGGTGAAGGATAAAGTACAGATCTTGAAAATTATCTTGAGTTCTGTCCCCTGGTGAAGTAGCAAGCATAAAAGGATAAACTAATGCAAATCTACTGAACTAGTTTATTGGCTGATGGAAAATCCACCGATAAATGACATTTCTGCATTTTTCAGTCATGTTTTAGGTGGAAGCCATGTATAGGTAATGAAGTTCATAAGAAAAGGCTGTAAGATATGTTTCAATGCTTTGGAATTTAAAATATCTTGGACATATGGGGTATTTTTAATGCTTACAGTGTCACAGAAAGTGTGCTAGATTTTTACTCATCACAGTAGTCTTCCGAAGAGCAATTATCTCTCCAGTTTTAAAAATGTAAGTTTTTCTTACAGTTTTACAGTAAGGGAATGGAGGTTTAGAGTATGTTACTATGGACATCTATCTATCAAGTAGGCTAAATAAGAATGAAAAGTCTAGTTGCCTTATTCCAAAGCATGTGATACTCTCACCAGTCTGTGTTGTAATAGAGAAAAACCATGTTCTGATTTTATAGGAGCTCATTCAGAGAGACCAGACTATTTGAAAGGATTGAAGACAGGACCATCAACTTGCCAGTAGGACAGGGTCAGGCATTCCTTGTGAGTGAGAATCCTTGCAGCTGGCATTCGGTTGGGTTGAAGGAGATGAGAGCCACATGTGGCAGATGTGTGCGCAGCCCTGACTTGAAGGCTTTGTTATCTCCACAGCACAGCTTGCAGGGACCCCCACAAGGAACTTGGCAGTTACAGGAGCCACCACTCAGGATCTTTCCAGTTCTTCCAGACCAGATGCAAATGTTGCAACCTGGGTTTGATTTTACCATAAGTAAGGTTGCCTAGTAATGTAGCTGACATGCAATTTTTATGTAGTTTCCAGAGAAACAGAATTAGACGGTTAACGGAAGGTCAAATTCTTACGCAGGAGGGGAAAGGATTTGTCAGCCTTTATCCACAGACCTGGAGGGTGATAGAAACTATCCCTGTGTCTTCTCATAAGAGTGCAGGAGAACTATTTCAAATGTATAAGAATTTATACAATCCCCAAGCCTACTACTTCCATTAATTTACTTATTTCTATATTTCATTATACTTAAAGAGTGGTTCTATATAAAATTTCTTATTCTGTTTTCAAGATGTCACAACCACATAACTCTTCGTGTTTGAGGCATAAGACACCCCCCTTCCCCAATCACGTGTATATGTATATAAACTATTAAGAAGAATTTTAGTTGATCAATTTAAATTCCATTTGCTGTTGAGTCCCTTTCTCCTGGAATTGTGAGCTTCCTGCATGTGTTTCATCAGCCTATGATAATGACTACTCTGAGTTCATGGCTTGGTAACTGATCTGTGATGCGAACATTCCCAGGGGGATCATGAAGACGCAGGCCCAGGTGATGAAGGAGCTCCTGGACTGCCAGGCCCTCCTGGAAGAGAAGGACCTAGGGGGCCTCCAGGACTGGGATTTCCTGGTCCACCGGGAAAAAGGGGGCAGCCAGGAGACCCAGGCTGCCCAGGCGAGAGGGGCCCTGATGGTGTGAAGGGTCCGAAAGGTAATTTTGAACAGTTTGTGTGACAGTGTCAAGTGAAATCCCAGGAGCGAAAGTGGGCCTCTCTTTCGGGCAAAGTTATTATAGCTATGGCAGAACTGCTGAGTAAAATGCCATCAAGCTACTGTTCAGATCTTGAATAGTGTCAAGCAAATAAAAGCATTATAGCACAATCAGTATTTAAATCCTTAAAACGCTAAGATGTCTTTGTTCTTTTGTTTGGCATATGAAAGTTGCCTTTCATTTCTCAGTCTGACCATATTCAAAATATCTATTTTTATAATATTTTGAGATAAGGCAGAGTTTCATTAAAAAAAAACAAAAAACCAAAAACACATTGTCCCTGAAAACCCATTTGTAAGCATTCCAGGAAGAAAAAAGAAAGGATTTTAAACATATCTGACTGTTTTGTAAATTCCAAACAATAAAATGATCTGCAGTATTATAGCTGGAAACTTTTTAAAAGTTTGGAAAATATTTAAGATTTTTTTTTCTTTTGTAATATGTACATATACACTGGGCTACATTGTTAAATGGGAATTTCAGAAGAAACTGATATCTTTGGCTCTTGATTTGACAACATAGAAAGACAAATACCTTGGAATTCAAAAAGGTTTAAAATCATGGTCTGGGGCTCATCAAAATAGAACATTATCTTTATTCATCTCATATGTTTCTGAGTTGAGAGCATGTGAAATAATATATTATGAGATATTGTTTCTATGATGAAAGAGCAGCATCCCAATTTAAATAAGGGATGTCACAGATGCTCAAGCTTGGAGTCTTATCTTCCTCACTGATTAAAATGGGGGATGACAATAACCACATTGCAAGGCCATTAGAAAAACAAGAGACTACCTGTTTGAAGCACCTGATCTACAGCAGCCTTCATGACATGATAGCTGTTATTAATATCCTGCCCAGTCGCTTTATTTGCACAATTCCCTCCACACCCAAACTAGGAGCCGAGTCAACCAGCACCACCCATGCTAGAACTTAGCATGGGTGGTGCTGGTTGTGATTTCATGATTCACAAAGCTTCTGATTTCATAGTATTCGACAGCAATGGACCTATAAATCCAATATTTATTCTATGGTATTAAAATGGATCCTTCTTGGAATCAATATTTTCTTAGTTCCCCTATTTTTATTAACTGTTCAGATTTGAAGGCAGTTTTGCTAGAAATTTGAAATAAAAGTAGTTCAAGTGAACTATGATCTTTTTGTGGTTTTTCCTTTGAATTCTACATACACTCTATGAGAAATATATTAACAAAACTGTCATTGAGATTTACCATGTCTTGAACTACTAATGATGTGAATACTACCGTTTTCCCCCAGGTGATACAATTGCTTGTAACATCAGCTACCCTGGGAGACCAGGCCCTCCGGGTTTTGATGGACCTCCAGGTATGATCAATGAGATGTTATTATTTTACACCTTCTCCAGAATAAAAGTCCTGGCAAGGTAGATAAACCAAAAGCAAATCCAAAGGCAAATGACGTATTTCTAAAATTATTACAAGGATTTAAGGGTCTATGGGAAAACAGCATTTATAGTCATTCACATTGGGTCTCTATTCTGCTGGTTTGGGCAGATGGCAGATGGGTATTCATATCTGAGCAACAAAATTTACCTTGATTCTATCACACACCATTTACTAGTAAAATGCTTGCCCTTTGAGAGTATTAAAACGTTGTCTTCTTTCTTATACCGTGTCCCAAGAGTCAAAAATGATCATTCACTTACTGATTACAAGTGTTATTCTATTCTGCTTTATAAGAAACCCCAATTTGACCAGAAGCAACATGAATAATGCACATACCTACATCCATGATTGCACTTTTATGAAACCCTTCATTTGAATCAATCACTGCTTTATAGCTAAATTAGACCCCAAGTCTATATAAATGCATAATTCTCTTATATTTATTCAGAATTCACTTAAATTGATCCATTGAGCATTAGCACAGCTACTTGTCCTACATAACAAAAGGTATTTAAAGGTGAAATGATGAATGACTCTTTATTGCTCTCTATAGCCAATAGCTTTTGTCAGAATAGTGTTTTATAACAACTTCAAAATCTAGTGGGCTACAACAACAGATATTTATTTTCTCTGTTATGGGTGTGCAGGTGGGTGGGGCTCAGCTGATCTGTGATTCTGTCTATTGGCTTGGTCCCTGGCTCTAGTCCAGGTTCAGGTATGTGACATCAGGTCACTGTGGGGCCAGCATGTGCTCATCTTTGTGATTGCAGAAATGCAAGAGGACAGCCCAGCTTTACAGGCAGAGTTCACCCCTCTCATTGCTTCATGGTTGTTAATATCCTATTGGCCAAAGCAAGTCATAGGACCAAGGCACAGATCAAAGCGGGTAAATGACACTCCACCCAGCACAAGTCAAGGGCCAGGGTGGGGAAGAATAACTCTGCATCAGTGGAGAGAAGCATTGCTGGTTGACTGATTGAGCATTCATTTTCACATTTACTGATGCCTTGTCATAGATGGATTAAAAAAAGTTAATGATTACTTTCAGCAGCTTTCATCTCAAGGGAAGTGAACACAAACTTGTTCATGGTTTGTAAGTTATTTTAGCTCAGATATCTCCTAGTAGGAAATCACAAGAGGTTAAAAAAAGACACAAAAAACCCTCAATTCCTTTTGCAGGTGCTTTTGGCTTATACTTCACTCAAGGGCAAAAGCAGTAAGATGCAGGGAACAGATTTGGCCTTTACTCTGGGGTCTTCTCATCAGGACACATGGGCCATTGCCTGTCCTCCCACAAGGACAGATGTGCATGCATATTTGTACTTGAGACCCAGCAGGGGAAGGTACCAAAAGGTTCATCTGAAGGGTGGTGCTTGCCCCAAAGGCTTTCAGAAGAACCCTTCACAGTTCGGCCTCTGAGAATGTACCTTAGCATAATCACTGCCTACAAAATACTTGTTCAGAGCAGGTGATTTGTAAAATAGTTCTGTCACCCAGGCTAGTCCACATCTCCACTGCCATCTAGTAGAAATCACCTTATTTGGTTCTCACTTAATGTGTGTCTTATGGAGTCCATGTTTCTTTGTTATCATTTAGGTCCAAAAGGATTTCCAGGTCCTCAGGGTGCTCCTGGGCCTAGGTGTTTTGATGGGCAAAAAGGTCGGCCTGGCAGACCCGGAATATCGAAAATACCTGGTCCACCTGGTAAGGGAAGTGCTTTTCCTTAGGAATGTCATATACTTCTAAAACTGGATGATCTTAGTAAGGAAATGGCCCCGAGACCCCTAGATGAAGGGGGAATGGTTTTTGTTGATACACTGAGCCCTTAGCTGTGTTTCATGAACTTTTAGGTTCTGATACTTTTGTGGGTTCTCAGGGCTTCTTTCACTTGAAGCAGGAGTGATAGGCCATTATTGGTCTATGACAGTGTGAAAACTGCTCAGTCCAGAAAGACAATTTGCCAGAGAATGCAAGCAATTGGGGAGACATCTTTGGCTTTTAGGAATTATAAAATTACAATAAATGTCCCTGGAAAAGATCGTAAAAACAACAATACCTATTAAATAAGTACCTTTGTATGTTTTAGAAATATGTTTTCATCAAAGCAGTAGATGATACAGCATAGGTTCTACATTTTTGCATTTAACAGTTGAAACCATTTTTTGTTCCATAGGTCTCCGTGGTGACCCAGGCGATCCAGGTTTTGAGGGTGAGAGGGGTGTCTCTCCCGTCGGGCCCCCAGGCTCTCCTGGTCCACCTGGAGCGAGTGGTCAGAAAGGAGTCCCCGGAGACCCTGCGTACGGCCCCCCAGGGTCCCCAGGAAAGAGGGGGTTCACGGGAATGCCAGGGTTAAAAGGCCTCCGGGGCGACCCAGGACATCCGGGGCCTGCAGGTATGAGGCTGCTCGGTCCCTGTGTCTACACCTCCAGCTCAGCTCTGGAACCAGTCACGGAAAAGCAGTTAGATGATCTGGCCTTAGAAATTGGGAATATGAAAATGTCACCCAAGCATCTTCCCTCCTATGGGGAGATGGTTACATTTCATTTGTTGTCTTTACATTATCAGTTTTGTTTTGTTTTAAATTGATTTTTTACAGAGAGGAAGAGAGAGGAATAGAGAGCTAGAAACATCGATGAGAGAATCATCGATCAGCTGCCTCTTGCACATCCCTACTGGGGATGTGCCCGCAACCAAGGTACATGCCCTTGACCGGAATTGAACCTGGGACCTTTCAGTCTGCAGGCCGACACTCTATCCACGGAGCCAAACCGGTTTCAGCTATCAGTTGTTTTTAAGTCCAGTGAAGCTCACTGTGGCTCAGTCAACCTAGTTAGATTCAGCAGCTACTGGACTTTGTCTGTCTGCTCTGGGCTCTGGACAGTGCCAAGGAATAGGGGCTGTGTGGTCTGCCTGCTGCCAGTGCCTGGTTGAAAGAGAGCAGGATGAGGGAGGAGAGAGAGCAGCTCAGGGGAGGAGCAATGTGGGCAGGAGTCTGGGAAGGCTCCTGGGAGAGCGGTGGCCCAGTGGGGCCCTGGCAGACCAAACTAACAAACATTGCTCTGGCCGAGCCAGCATTTGTTAGATACCCAAGATAGGGCACGTGGGAAGACAGGGGAGTAAGCTACATTCTGTGTTATTAGGGAGCTCACTACTTGGTAGTTTGTAAGGCAAAATACTCATATACAAAAATCCAATCAATTGGAAAGTAACAACACATTATGTGAGTCAATGAAAATAATTTTGCCCTGATAATCCCACTATCTCACTTTCGAAAATGTATCTCAGACAGTGTTCAACAGAATATGAAAGTTAATATAAAAATACTCTTGTATGGCTGATCCTTGAACAATGCTGGAGTTAGGGATACTGCCCACCACACACACACACACACACACACACACACATATTTGTACAGTAAAAAATCAACATGTAACCTTTGACTCTCCCAAACTTCACTACTAATAACCTACTCTTGACTGGAAGCCTTATCAATAACATAGAGAATCAATTAACAGAGATTTTATATCATATATATTTATGCATTATATACTATATTCTTACAACAAAGTAAACTGGAGAAAAGAAAATGCTACTATGAAAATCATAAGAAAGAGAAAATACACTTATAGTACTTATTGAGATAAAATATGTTTGCAAATTGTCCTTATAATTCAAATCTGAGTTGTTCAAGGGTCATCTGTAGTAGTATTCACAAGAGAGTTAAGTAGCATAGACATACACACACACACACTCAAAAGAAGAAATATTATTACCTATTAGCATTAATAATTAAAATTATATTTGTAAAGATTACAACAAAATGGAAAACATTTGCAGATTGATATGCAATGTAAAATAATCTAATAATTGATTGTGCATTGTGACTACTACTTTAAAAATGTAAATATCTGAACGAAAAGTAAAGAAAACATGGAAAAATAAATTAAGTTTTTTTGGTTGGGCTGTGGAATTATAGGGGGTTTATTTTTCTCTCTGAAGATCATGGCACTGCCTTTTCAATAAATAGAAATTTGAGAGCTCAAGTGATGAAATATATTACGAAATGCAAATTGTTACAGTGCAAATTGGGTTTGTAAGCATTGTGGAGTTTTGGTGTGAAGCCTGCTGCAATGTTAGAGGTTAATTAAAATCAGGAAGAATCCCGTGGTTTTTCAATTTGCATAAACAACTTCTTTGCCGTCCATATAACCTTATCAAGTAACTCTTTTAGCCATGCACAGTTTTTCATTTCTTTGGAGCTCACGTCCTATGAAAAGAAAATTCATTCAGAGATTTAACTCATTTGAGCACAGAGCCAGGATCAAAATGCTGGCTCTGGTACTGATGGGCCCGAACTCTGCTAGGCCATCTATTATATGTCATTTTATGCCATGAGTGTCACAGATGGATTGTACCATTCATTCCAGGGTCAGCTGGCATGCCCGGATTCCCGGGTCTCAAAGGCCCAAAAGGCAGAGAGGGAAGTGCTGGGTTTCCAGGTGCTCCTGGTCCACCTGGCCATTCCTGTGAAAGAGGTGCTCCCGGATCACCAGGGCAACCAGGACTCCCCGGGGCTCCTGGCAGTCCAGGTAAGTGTGAGCAGGTGTCAAGGACTGTGAAGGGCCTGGGCCTTTAGCTGGCTTGCTGTTGCTCTTTCACAGAAGCGGGAAGAAGCAAGCCCTCTGGGTAAGAGAGGAAGAGCTTCATTATTCATGGCACAGAATGTAGCATGAGCTTCCTGTGGGCTTGTGTCATTTCCCACCTCACCCTAGTTTCTCGGCAGCGACATAAGAGGTGCTAGATAGATGCCACGCACAGAGCTGATTGCAGTACCTGAGAGGAGCTCTGAGCCTGGGGAACCACTGGTTTACATGCCTGTAGAGCAACCCACTTTCTGCACTGGGAGAGGTGCTATCTCGTGCATCAAGGTTGTTCGCTGCAAACATAACCTTGAGAAGTAGCCCAGGTAAAGAGCAGTCAGGTCCTTGGGTCCTTGGCATACCCACCCAGCAAGACCTGTAGTAACTGGAAGAGACTGGAGAAAGTGTTTCTCAACAGGGTTCTAGGGGATATCTCCAATCTGATCTTCATTTCATGATTCAGACTGCCACCTGTTATGTAAATCCTATTGCATTTACCCCAATGCAGGAAGGTGCCCTCTCTTAGGATCCACAGGAGACTGAGGCACAACCTGCCACCTTAGCTTTATTTCTAGCACCAGTAATATCAGATAATGTTGCTCTGATTTCTACAATTCTCAGTTAACATCCTGATCAAAACTTGCTGGGTCATAGCTTCTGGAAGGACCTGGCAAATTATCTACCCCCAAGACTAAATACAGATTACATTTTGGTTTTCAACCCCTATCCATTTCCCATGCAAAACTTTTTATAATATTCACTCATGCTCCTTATTGGGAACTATTTCTTTAATAAATATTTGAAATATTCCTGTCCTTCTTTTTAGAACAGCCAGTAAAAAAAACAAAACATAATTGTAGAATGATGGAGAGTTGCTAGTTTTATTTTAGCTGATAAAAACTGTTTCACTTTCGTTTCCTTGGTGATGGATATGCAATTTAAGCTACCATGACTGCCCTGCCTGTGTGTGAAGCCACTTTCCAGTTGTCCTACATTGTGGTCTCTGTGCTTTGTCTCAGGTGCCCCAGGTTGGAAAGGACAGCGAGGAGATATGGGCCCTCCTGGACCAGCTGGGATGAAGGGCCTCCCAGGAGACCCTGGAAGGCCAGGGAGAGATGGACCACTAGGACCGCCAGGAATTCCAGGCCCCTTTGGGGATGACGGGCTACCTGGTCTTCCAGGCCCCAAGGGTGGGTAGCACTTTTTAATTATTTCCTCATTTTATAAACGTGAAACCCACTGCCAAGTGAAGCCTGTTAGGTGTGACCACGCTATAGAATGTTCTGTTAAATGAGCTTCACTTTGCCCTGCTCTTGGGGATATCTCCCTTCTTCTTATTCTCTGTATTGATATTTTCAGTAGCAGGATGTTTGGGTAGATGGGGGTCACAGAATCCATTAACCCTTCTGCCCAATGAACTGGGTAGACCGGTAAATTGCAGGGTCAAGGCTTATATGCTTCTATGTTGGATGGATCCCCCCTCTCTCCACCCCCGTCCCTCACACAGTTCTCCGAACCTATTCTGGGATTATACATCAAGGTTGTTCACTGCAAACATCACCTTGAAAAGTAGCCCAGGTAAAGAGCAGTCAGGACCTTGTGGCATACTCACCTAGCAGATCTGTGGTGTGGGAGAGCCCAGTTATTACACAGAATGAGGCTAATCATGGCTGCTCACCTTCAATGCAAACTCAGAGTCAGGTGGGAGTGTGCATTGGGTGGGCATTGGGAATGCAGATCTAGGAACCACACTAGCCTTTGAAACGTTTTCTTAAATATTCACGCTTTTATTTCATCAGGACCTCAGGGGCTGCCTGGCAAGCCCGGTTTTCCAGGAGAGAGAGGGAAGCCTGGCCCCAAGGGACACCCTGGCAGAAAGGGAGAAGTCGGAGAGAAGGGCTGGCCTGGTGCCCTGGGAGACCAGGGAGCGAGTGGTGCCAAAGGTAAAGGCAGTGAACAGCACGGGCAGGCAGCACAGGTTTGCTTCCGATGTCTGATCACCGTCCATGAATATAACCTCTGAAAACCAAAATGTGACTCTCCTGCAGCTTGGATTCCCCCTCTTCCTCTTGATTCTGTGGTGCTGGTTTTAAAATTTCAAACAAAATTCATTTTCCTTCCCTTTCAATCTTATTACATTAAACTCGGCAAATTAATTGCTCTGCTAATAGAAGAAAAATGAACAAGTGCTTTGATTTATAGCTATTGTTTTTCAGAGAACCGTCTCATCTTTTTAAATTTTTTTTTTATTGTTTAAAGTGTTACATAATCTCCTCCCCCTCCCCCAATTGACCTCTCCCCAGCAACCTCCCTCCATCCCGGATATGCCCTCACCGCCCCCCCCCCCCAGTCTGTTTCCTTTGGTTATATTTATATGCACGTATACAAATCCTTTGGTTGATATCTTAGCCCTTAACCCCCCACCTTCCCTCATAGCTTGGACAGTCTGTTCGATGCTTCTATGACTCTGGTTCTATTTTTGATAATCAGTTTACGTTGTTCATTATATTCCTCAAATGAGTGAGATCATGTGATATTTATCTCTGACTGGCTTATTTTGCTTAGCATAATACTCTCCAGTTCCATCCATGCTATCACAAATGGTAAGAATTCCTTCTTTTTTACAGCAGCATAGTATTCATTGTGTAGATGAATCAGTTTTCTAATCCACTCATCTGTTGATGGGCATTTAGGCTGTTTCCAAATCTTAGCTATGGTGAATTGTGCTGCTATGAACATAGGGGTGCATATATCCTTTCTGATTGGTATTTCTGTTTACTTGGGATATATTCCTAGAAGTGGGATTACTGGGTCTAATGGAAGTTCCATTGTTAATTTTTTGAGAAAACTCCATACTATTCTCCACAGTGGCTGCACCAGTCTGCATCCCCACCAGCAGTTCCTTTTTCTCCGCATCCTCTCCAGCACTTGTTGTTTGTTGATTTGTTGATGATAGCCATTCTGACAGGTGTGAGATGGTAACCCATTGTCATTTTGATTTGCATCTCTCAGATGATTAGTGACTTTGAGCATGTTTTCATATGTCTCTTGGCCTTCTGTCTGTCCTCTTTCGAAAAGTGTCTATTTAGGTCCTTTACCCATTTTTTTTTATTGGATTATTTATCTTCCTTTTGTTTAGTTTTCTGAGTTCCCTAAAAATTCTGGAGATTAAACCTTATTGGAGCCTTCTCACCTTGGCAGGCTCTTGGCGCCCAGATTCTGTTTCAATTCTTTCACAAATAAAATAAGCTTTTTTGTAAAGAGCCAGATATAAATATTTTAGGTTTTATAGGTAGTATGTTCTTTGTTGTAACTCTTCAACTGAGCTTTGGAGACATGAAAGAGTCAGAGACAACATCTAAAAAAATCAACGATTGGTGTTCTAATAAAACTTTATTTATAGAAACAGAAAGTTGAACTTCACTTAATTTTCACATGGCAGAAACTGTTATTCTTGTTTTGGAGTTTTTCTTCCAGTTATTTAAAAGTGTAAACACTGATCATGGCTCATGAATTGTATAAAAACTGGCAGCAGGCAGGATCTGGCCCTGGGGCTGGAGTTTGCAGTCTTGAAATGGAAGTTCACTTTTGTCCGGTTCTGAGTTAGTCTTCCTGGGTTTCATTTAAAGTAAGAGTTTTCAATACAAAATTTGAAAAATAAATTTTTTTTATTGGTATAAAAATAAAAACTTTGAGATCACTGGTGTAAATGCTCCCTTCCATGTTGAATATTTACTTTCATCTCTAGCCTTGGCTCTGCAATGAGGGAAGGTACCATTTCATTCCCAGTGTTAAGAATGAATACTTGTCAATTTTCAGCAATGAGGTAAACATCTTAAAGCCCTTTGGGCAAATAGCCTCAGTGCATTCAAAACTTACTTTTACTTCTCAGTTGATTGAATCTGCTATTATTTTTGTTCTATTAGCCTGTAAATTATTTATGCAGAATCAGGGAATCAGAATCAGTCTTTGCTAGCTGAGATTGAGTGGCTTTTGCTATGCTGTCATGCTACACAATTATCCCAGTAAAAAAGTGAACAATTATGTGGATGCTAGTGATGTGCTGATAAACTGGCTCTCCAGACTGAAACTGAAAACAAATGCCGTGACTTGCAGTGATTGCTGATCTCATGGCATAAGTACTCCCGCTGTGGCATAAATAGTCCCAGCATGGCTGATTTAAAGCTTCCAAAATTCTTGAATTGTTAATAATTGGTCCTCACCAAGCTGGTAGGAGCCCACTCTGATGCACTTTACAATGGACAGTGTTTATTAACATCAGGCAGATCTATCATTTGCCCTTCTTACTTTTTGAAATTCTCTATGTGGAGAACCACATTAAGGTAAGAGTCTGTTCTCTTAATGTGAAGAAAATAATAGAGGGTGGCTAGGAAGGGGAAAATAGGGAACTGGAAAATATGAGATGGGCAATTCACATTTTACAGGATAAAAAGCCATATTTTAGACCTGGAATTTTGCAAGCCTGTCTTTTTTCACTGAAAACAGACCAGCCTGGTTGAATTCGGCAAACCCTCACTGAGCACTCATTGTTCACCAGACCCTAGTACTGGACCAGTTGAGAGACGAATGTAAAAGGCATGGCCAATCCTTCAGGAAATCAACCAGCAGTGTTGCTCCTGTGCAGTCCGTAAACATGAATACAGTTTAGTAGATTAAGTGGGGATTTGCAAACGGGATGTGAAGTGACAATGGAGGCCTCACACGTGTGGTGCTTGTTGTTTTGCTCTTGCATAATGAATATCCAAAGGAGAGAGAGGACCCCCAGGAGATGAAGGAGAAATGGCTATAATTACCAAGAAAGGGAAACCCGGGGATCCTGGACCTCCTGGAGATGATGGAGTCCCAGGAGAAGAAGGTAAACATTCATTTTTTTGAACCCTATTAAATAAGTTAACTTCACAGATTGTTCAAGCAAGCATGTCTATTAGGCAACTTTTCCAGTAACACTGAGACTAGGAAAGGTTGTTTTGTAGACATACATGTGCACTAGTGAATTTAATACTAGAACTTAGCTGAAGTTCATATGTATTTATAGATTTGGATATTCCAAAGTAGTATCAATCCTGAGATACATATTGTTCCAGGGTTAGAGTACTGCTGTTTTCGGTATTAAAATGAAGAGCACAGAGATTGTCCCAGTCATTTTGATCAGCGCTTCTTATATTTTAATGTTCATATGAATCATCTGGGATGCTTTTGTAAAAGGCACATTTTGAATCAGCAGGACTGGGCCAAATCCACCTTTCTAACCAGAACTGCCTGCCCCGCGCTGCTGGCCTCAGAATCAGCATGCAGCAAGGACCTTGACCTCCATATTTGGGTTCTCTTTCCTTAGTTCAGACTTAATCTGCATGAGACCCGCATTCTTACCTTGGTTGTTAGGGACAAATGTTTTAACTTCTTAGAGTAAATTCTTCGTTTGTAAAATGAGTTTATTGGCGCAAATGATCCTGTGCGCTGGTTCCTATCTGGGACATCCGTGGGGTTGTTCCTGGGCAGCTTTTTTCACAGGCAGGTCACTGAAACCAGAAGTCATCATGCTGTGATTTAGGGCAGGAATTGGGATTCTCAAACCCTTTGGCTTCATATCTTAAAAGTAGGACCAAGATCCCCATCCTAGTCCAAGAATTCCTCTGAATTGGGTCTAACACTTCTAACTCCACCAGGTGATCAAGGCCATCCTGGGATGCCAGGGAGAAGAGGGGAGCCAGGAAGACACGGGCCACCGGGGCTTCACAGAGGAGAGCCTGGTAGAGATGGGCAGCCAGGGCCTTCTGGACCCCCAGGCCCTCCGGGCTCCCCTGGACTCAGAGGGATCATTGGTTTTCCGGGATTTCCAGGTGATCAGGTAAGCAGCTGCTGTTTTGGGAGGAAAGTAATAATAAAACCTTCTACTCTCAGGATGCCAATGAGTCACAATTTGCCAGTGGACATCATAGCCCTTTCACTGGTTTTCACAATTAAGGGGTTGGTCAAGGGAAGAATGGAGACTTCCTGAAGGCCAAGATGTAACTATGGTTTCTGACCAATGCCTGGTTCCCATGACATAGGTGACCAGGTCACTTACTCCACCTACTAACCCTGGCATAGTTATAACAGGCCCATAGAGACTCACCTCATGACTGCTTGTGTACTAAAGAGTCATCTGAGAAATGATTTCATATACAATTGCAGATATTAGAGATTTTGCTGTGGTTTGGCCCTTATAATTATGAGTAAAATACCCCGTGAGAAACCAGGAGGTACAATACGTATAATAGCCTACATCACAACTCTAAAATGTATAATTCGTTACCCATCTCTGGGAATAAATTAGGCTTTAAAGTTTTGGGTATGAGATGATTTCTAATTATATTTTATTTAGTGTCAACTTGTTCATTTAAAAAACTTAAAACTCAATTATGGGAATCAGTTACTGTTTTGCAATCAAATATAGAGAATTATTACTACCTGTTGGTACTGATACCTCAAATTCTGGATGAGTTTTATCAACTTTTGAAAACTAGATACATGTAGTAGTATGCCTATAATGCATTTCCAAATTTCTTTGCCACTGCAAATTATAAGCACCAAATCGGTTATGGATAATTATAGCTGGATCATGTCATGCCTGCGTCATTTGAGTGTGAAGCCAAATTAAGGTTTTAGTTCTGTTTCATTAATCTATCAGGGTGATCCAGGTTATCCAGGGACTCCCGGACTTCCAGGAATTGATGGAACAAGAGGACCTAAAGGTATGGTTTGGAAATACAGCATCCAGCCATTAATCTCATAATCCATAGTAACATTGGGAGCCATCACCTTTTGCATGAAAGCAACACATAGTCAAACAAACTGCAACACTCAGGGGTTCTTTTCAAACTCTTCTTAGTAGTCAAACACTCAAACCCAAACTGTCCACAGTTGTCATCCAGATCTGAGAGTATCAGATAAAAAGCAAGCCTGCAGAGCACACCAGGCTTTCCCCTCAGGGAGTCCTTGCAGCTGTCCTTGCGAAAACTGCAGTTCTGTGAGTGACAGCTCAAGTGCAAGGAGACCGGATCCACACTGTACTCTTGGCTGAAAAGCCCAGTGCCCCTCTGAGGCTTCCACAGGTACAGCTTTTAGAGTCTAGGTTACAGGAGCCACAGCACATAAAGGCCAAAGCCATGACTTTCCACCAGGTGTTAATAGTTCACTTAAGAATTTATGAGCCACAGGTAATGTACATCAGCCATGGTTGATGTTCTACCATAAGTCAAGGGTCAGCAAATACATATTTTTCAAAGGGCCAGATAATACTTATTTTCAGTTTGTGGTCTCTGTCACAACTGCTTGACTGTGAATAAAAGCAGCCAAAGACAATACACAGTGTCATGGCTAAATGCCAATAAAACTTTATTTACAATACAGGCTAAAGGCCTTAGTTCACCGTGTGCCTTGTAACACAACCTACATTCTACTTTTGTCATGTTTCCAGGAAACAGAAATAGAAAGTTGACCCAATCTCAAAAATGTCTTTAGAGAGAGAGAGAGAGTTTATTAACCCTTTCTCCATAGAAACAAGCAAATAAACAGAAATCAGGCTATCGCAATCCAATATAATAAAGAGCTAATCCTATATAATAAAGAGCTAATATGCTAATTAGACCGAACAGCGGAACAACCATCCCGATGACCTCTGGAAGAAGCTGGGGCTGTGAGGGCCGGCCAAGGCTACAACAGGCTGCGAAGGCCGAGCTCCTTGTATGAATTTCATGCATTGGGCCTCTAGTGTTTGTATAAAACCTTTAATATTTTTTACTGTTTTTCTACACTTAGTATTTTTTCTAAACCATTGGATTAATGTATTTTAAAATCTACTTTAAAATGATTCACTTTTTACACCCTACTCTCTGTGAATTCAGAGGTTTGATATGCAGTTAGATTTTATTTTAATACAGTTAAAAACACACCTTTAAAATGTAAAATACTAATTATTAAACCACCTAAAATATTTTCCTTTATTCCAATGATACATGCTTTACCCTTTGACAGACACTACATAAAGAATGTGATCATAGCTGTGAAAACAGGCCGTGCACACATTTATTCAGAAAGAATAATATAGCTCTCTTCTTTGGAAATTGTTACAAAAAGGGAAATTTTCATATTTAACTTTTGACATTTTATAGCTTCAGGATTCAGAGCTCACTCCTCTTCTATTTCCCTGTCAATTTATTATAGTCCCTTTACGTCTCTCAAAGTACAAGCCTGCTTCTTATTTCCTTCATGCTTGTATTATGTTATGAAATGCGCTCAGGTACCTGGAGCGAAAGGTGTCTCATGGAGCCCAGAGAGAAAACCAGAAGCTAACAGACCCGGGGCCTTAACAAGTCATGGTTCTCTCTTGATACTTTCCTGTCATTCTCCATAGTCAGTTTTTCACTTACCTGCCTACCAACTGGTTTTCATCACTCTCTATTTGGTATCTTTTCCGGATCTTTTTGGAAATGTCTGATTGCCTTCCAACATGCTACATCAGGGTGTTATGATAATCTACATTATGAACATCTTTTTGCTTTCTTCCTCAATAGCAACTACTTCAAATCCTCACTTTTTAATACAACTTCTCAAGGAAAGATTGGCAGACCAAGGAAGGGCCAGATTCCTACTGTTCAAGTAATTAGCCACCATTATGAGTAGTGTCAGCTGGGAGAGCGCCTTCTACAGGGGTGGGTAGGACCTTTAGAAAGCAGTGTTGGTGTCCTGTGTCTGGAAGCTTTCGGCAGCAGTGTGGAATGGTTCTGCAGGACTGTGGGAGTCATTGCCCACAATGGCCTTTGAATGTGCCACCTCTTGTGAAATCATCAATCAAGTGAGACTTTGTGATTTTGTTTTTACAAGAACACTAACTTGAGCTTCCTTGCAGAGAGCTTGAAATGTGACTACGGCAGCTGAAACTGACAATTTCTTTTTGTTTCAAAAACAATATCAGGATATAGTTACACTATGCCAAGGAATTTCTTAAATAGATGCCTACATTTGAAACTATCTTAGGGAATTTAAAAATTTAAACTTATTAAGATTTATAGTTTCCCATGATTGTTATCAATTATAAAATTGTGTGTGTATGTTTAAATACATCTTTCGTCTATGTTTCCATTTATTCTTATGTAGAAAAAGAAATAACTTTTTTCAAAAATCCTTCCCTGGAATATTTGAAAATTCACTATAAAGACAAATGTCATAGAAGTTACTTGTATGAGACAAAATTAAATTCTCTTAAATAATGTTATGTGCGTTTGATTATAGGAAACAAAGGGGATCCTGCAAATCAGTTTGGCCCACCCGGTCCAAAGGGTGAGCCAGGCAGTCCTGGATGTCCAGGTATAGTTACATATTTTTCTTATTAAACCAGAAAGAATATATTTGGTTTGAAAGCTAAAATGATTACTTTATCCTCTGAGTCAGCGATGATTATGTTAGTATTTTCTTCCTCCTTTGCCACTAAGACACATGTCAGAAAGATTATGTACAAACACAGCATCGTATCCCTGGCTGAGAAGGACATTAGGATTATACCCCAGGGACTCATAATCTTTTTTAACCATGGTTCCCAGGACCAATGATGTTGACATGACAATACAATCAAGCATGCCCAGATTTTGACAATGATTATTGAAAGCAATGAAAACTTGGACCAGTTCGCAGTTTCTCTAATTAAAATGATACATCAGCAATAACCACTCACACTGAGTACAGCTGCCCTTCCTTTCCTACCTAGAAAAGTGTATGTGAATGCCAGTGTGACCTGCCATTGCTAATATATCACCGAAATCACTTATTTAGCAAATACCTAATTTACTAAAAAACAAACCAAAAAAATGTAAAACCTCATCACCAGTGACAAATCTAAGTTCTTCAAAATAGTACCTGCTTTGTCAGTAACAACTGAGGTTCAATCCCTCTCAACTGACAGACCAGTGAGTTCTTGCCCTCCAGTCCAGGAGGCTGTGGTTGACTACAATCGAGGACCTGCAGCTGACAGAAAATGCATGCTCTTCGACTTAGTCATTCTTCCATAGGCATTTATCTTAAGTCATCAATCTGACAAGTGTACAAAGATGCACCCACAAGGATACCCATTGCATGGAAAGAACAAGGTCCATCATAGATGATTGATTACATAACCTGTCCACTGTCATTATGCTGACAGTGGACAGGTTGGAAGCCAGATTTGTATGTACATGGGTACGTTGTAAGTAAAAGTATTTCATTTTAATTCTTCTATGCACTAGCTTGAAATTCTGTCTGGCAATAGCCATGCTTATTCCATAGAACATGGAATAGAAAGAACATCTGAACAGAAGTTTATGGGAAATTTTATTTCTTGGTTGTTATGTGCATGATTGCTCAAATGGAAGTCTAACAGAAAAACTAACAATTGCAATTGTTTCATCTCCCACTCTCTTTCATGTGGGCCTTTCACCTCTGACATGGCCAAATACATATTTTAACAGAAAGGTGTAGCCTAAGTGTACATTTGGAGGAGAAAATAGTTTCAAGGTTAGCGCTATGAGGGTTCTTAACAAGTGCCAGAGTGAGAGGTCTCAGGAAGGAAAATTAGTGGTTCAAAGTCACCCTTATTATTACTGTGCATGGGGGTCTTGGCAAATTGCTTATCATCTCTGAGTTCAGTGTCCTCACCTGTAAATTAGCCCAATACTCACTGTAGGATCACTCAGAGGATCAAATGAGATTTTTGGAGAACAATTTGTAAACTGAAAATTGCTACACAAATGTAAAATGTCATTGTCACTATCATCACCAGTCAGCAAAGCATTAAGAGATTTTTCTACACTTACTGGTATCTTTTTTAAAATATATTTTATTGATTTTTTTTATAGAGAGGAAGGGAGAGGGATAGAGAGCTAGAAACATTGATGAGAGAGAAACATCGATCAGCTGCCTCCTGCACACCTCCCACTGAGGATGTGTCCACAACCAATGTACGTGCCCTTGACCGGAATCGAACCAGTCCGCAGGCTGACATCTATCCACTGAGCCAAACCGGTTTTGGCATTTACTTGTGTCTTTATGTGAACCCTGAAGATAGTAAAATTTTATAAACTGAAAGTAATAAAATTCAGAGCTCTTTTATATTACCTAATATTTTAATTTTAAAATCATAAACCTGAGTTCTTTTATACTTAGGCTTTTTCAACAAAATTTGCCTTGGCATAATGTCCCTGGTCTCCTGTGGTTAGCACCATTTAAATTGTTCCCTATCCTGTATACCATAGCTTTAGGTTAAACATTTTTAAATGACATCTTATGTTATTTACCAGCTCAGAGTTTGAAGTTCTCTTATGTTATTTATCACCTACATATGTGATTTCCATTGACTGGAAAGAGCTGCATTGAATTTGAATGAGCCTAGCAAGAAGCTATTGAGCTGCTGCTGTCTCAGGGATTATGTAGGATTGTACTAGGTCCAATTCCATCGTCCCTTCAATTCAGAGAGAAACCACAGTAGCAATAAACTCAAAAGTTTTGTTCATACTTCAGCTGTTATGGGGAGGCAAGCCTTTCACTACAGTTTTCTCATGTGGAGATGAGAATACTGCTGCCTTACCTTCACTCCAGGAATGTTTTCAGGGTAAATAGAACAACAGAGAGAGGCTCAAGGTCTTAAATTGGTCTGGGAACAGGTATCAACTAAGATAGTCTTGTTTCGTGTGTGTTATAACAAATAATGGCTACGCCCTTACCATGGGTTTGTCAGTATAGAGCCCTATATTTTATTTGTGGATACAACCAGTTATTGTTTTAGCACAGACTGTTAGTTTATCCTATGAATATGGGTTGTATTAAAATCACACAATCGAAATAAACATACAGGGAAATGGTCATCTTCTCTAGTAATCGAAGAAGTGTAACTTAATGTAAGTCTGGAGTACTATTTCATCCTTACTAAACTAACAAGAAAATAAACCAACAGCCTACAAAAGCCTTGGTGAGTGCCTGCCCAGCTCTTGGGCGTGCAAGGACGAGTGTGGATGGGTCTGCAGGTTGAAGTGGGTTGGTGCAGCACTTGTCCAAACCATTTGGCGACTTCTATCAAGAACCAAATACTGAATGGTCTGTGCTAGAAGCCTAGAGAACAACTGAACTGTTCTTTTCAAGTCACTGTCCTGAGAAAGGGACTGTAGTAGATTTTATTTTTTAAACGTAAGAGATATACCCACCAGATGCCATGTGTGCTTCTGGAATAGAACCCGGTATGGACAAACCAGCTGTGAAGACATTAAGGGGACAGTTAGGGGAATTCAAGTATGGAATGAGTATTAGATTATATTAAGGATTGCTATTAATTTCCTTGGCTATGACAATGTTATTTTGCCCATGTAAGAAAATGTTATTTTTCAGACATACCTCCTGAAATATTTAGGGATGGAATTCCATGATGTCTTTGATTTACTTTAAAAGATCTCAGCATTTTAAAATGAGTAAAAAGATCCAAAATGTTATGTTACCTAGAAATTCTACTCCTAGGAACTTTTCTAAGGAAATAATGTAATAGTAGAAAAATGTATTAAAGATGTATAAAAATCATTATGCATGATAGCAAAGAGAAAAAACTTCAGTGGCCAAAAGTAGGAAACATTTGCATCAATTAATTAAATTTAGGTGAACTCAGTAAGCTATGAGCCAGTCACTTGAAAACAATAATTAGGAAAATGATGACAAACTTGGAAAATTGCTTAAGATTTAACGCCAATTTAAAAAAAATCAGAATATAAAATTGTGGGTATTATTTGCACTTTGTATACATATAAAAATTGTTTAAGGTGGTGAGATTATGGTTGTTTTGTTTTAATTTTCTTTAATGTTACCTTCTCAGTAGAAAAACTGTTAATATAAAAGAAAGTAAGACTAGAAAAGAATAACAAGGGCTGAGTTGGAGGTTTTATAGATTCACCGTCTTGAAGAGCATCTACAACCTCTCAGGTTTTTTATCTTTCTTTGTTTAGGGCCTTTGGGAGCTCCCGGAGAGAAGGGCTTGACCGGTGTTCAAGGGCCCAGAGGACCACCAGGAAGACCAGGACTGCCCGGCCTCCCCGGACCATCAGGGTGTCCAGGTACCTTGGGAAGAAGCCTGGAACCTTCTCAGACACATTTCTATCTCGTGTTGCATCAGAAAGGACAAGCCTTCACTCAGACCTGGGTTCAGCTCTGGTTCTGCCACCTCCCAGACCTGTAACTTTGAACTAGTCACCCAAACTTGCCCATTCCTTCCTTAATTGGAGCTAGTCCTCACTCCCTGGGTGGTCTAGGAGTAAAATTAGTCAACACCTATAAAGGGCCTAACAGGGTGCTAGGCACAAAGGGATGGTGCTCCTTTCCCGCCCTTCCTAATTTACCTGCCATTGAGAATGCTGGCTTTTTCTTTTCTCCTTTAGACTTAAGGTAAATATCACACATACAGGACAGCATTGTAATGGCTCCTCTTCCTGACAATTCAGAAAAAAGTGAGAGTAGAAATCATAATTGGCAACTTTAATTGCTCAAAACGGTATTTTTCCCCTTCTGAGCTTAAATGTATTTTTCTCCCTAGTGTCAGGAGACCTAGGAAGAAAAAGTAATAAAACAGTGTTCCTGGTTCAAGTATCTCACATAATACGAACATTGATGATCTTCCCAGTTAATGCAACTCATGTGCCATCTGGGTGTCTGCAAAACCTCCCTGTCTTCCTCAGGTGATAAAGGGATGCCTGGGCCAGTAGGACATCCAGGAGAAACAGGGGACCCTGGACCAAGAGGCCTCATGGGGTATCCAGGGATACCAGGTCTTCCTGGAATAAAAGGTAAGTCAGAGAGGAATCCTGGCCCATCAGAAAAATCAAGGCCAATGAGGGCAAATGCACAGTGGCTTTCCAGCCCTGAGTGACATTGCCCCTGGTCATGACCCTTCCCCACCAATGTCATCAGCCCCTCCCTGTTCTTTCTCACTCGGCTCCAGGCAGTGCCCATCTAGCCTCCGGACCTGCCTTCTATCAACATGATGGTGATACCATCTCATTTTTCAAATTTCTCCCAATGTTTTCCATAATGTTCAGCCCCATTCATTTATTCTTTCCCCAGAAAGTTAAGCTCCTACTATGTCCTGGATTCCAGATACTCAGTACAGAGTTTTGAAGAAAATAGACATGAAGCTTCCTTTATGAAGCTCACAGTTTAGGAAGAGAGACACATATTAACTATGTATGTGTAAATAAATACATATTTACCAGTTGTGATAAGTGAAAGAGAGAGGGAAAAAATAAGATGCTATGGTGGAACTAGAATTCATTACTTTTGTTGATGAAGAAACATTTGTTCCTGGTTGAATTTTTTGGCCTTTAAAGACGAGTTATAATATAGGCCTGGTTAATATAAAATAATGTCATAAAATTATACAATTTATTTTTTTAAATATGTATTTTATTTATTTTTTTACAGATAGGAAGAGAGAGAGTTAGAAACATCAATGAAAGAGAAACATTGATTAGCTGCCTCCTGCACCCCCCTTTGGATATGCCCAAAACCAGAATTGAACCTCGGACCCTTGAGTCTGCAGGCCGACGCTCTATCCACTGAGCCAAACCAGTTAGGGCTATACAATTTATTTTTAACAAATCTCCATGCCTTTTCCCATTCATATGTGGTACTTACTCCTCTTTAGTTCATTGCTTTCATTTTAGATAAAATATTTTTATTGGTACTTTGTGTGTACCACTAGCCTAATAATACTTATATTGTATAACATTTGTTTAGAAGTTTTTCTCACCAAGTGATTTTTTTTAAAAAGAAAGGACTATTTTTATATGCTTGGCACTCAGTAGATACCCAATAAGCCTGTTGGTTGGTTAGTGTATTTTTAAATTTATGAATAAATTAATAAGTGAAGGAATGGATAATAGAAGAAGGAACATCTGAGCTAGTAGCTATGAAGATGAGGGTTTTCACCTTAATCAACAGATGTTCAAGCCTTACTTGGTAGATTTCTATAACCAATCTTTCTCTGCCTCCTTCTTCTTTTCCCTCCCACTTTTTCCATGATTAACCACTTGTACTGTATCCCCACTTCTTTCTATCCTCCCAGTTCAGTAAAATAGTAAGGATTTTCAAGTGTCTTGGTGCCATAACAATATCCACCCAGTCTGATTAAAATGACAAGGCTCAATCTACTATTATTGATTCTTCCTTCTCTTGAATTAATTTACATTTATTACATAAGTTCAGTATATGTTATTTTAAAACCTAATAGCTAATGAATTTGACAGAATAAAATTATTTGAAGGTAATCTCTAATCATGTCATAATTCTGTGCTTTGAAAAATGAGTTTGTTAAGAAGAGAAAGTGAGGAAATATATCCACCCAAGTATTCAGTGTGCAAAAGGATACTGCAGTGTGCCTCCCGACCACGTGGTGGCACTGTTTCACTGTGAACTGCCCAATTACACAGCCAGTCTTTAAAAGAAACAAAACAGTGAAACAGATTCCTAAAAATTAGAACAACGACCATCTAAATCCATTGTTGCTTCTTATCATGCTGGTATAAAAATGAACCACACTCCAGCAGAAACACTTTGAACTGAGAAACTAAATATTTGAAGTGTGCGTTAGATAAGTCAAGGGGCCCGATTTTCTTGTTTGAATAAACCAGCTGCTGAACTCGAAGTTGTTTGCTCTGCTAGAATGGGCCATATGGATTCTGAGTCCTGCTTGTGTTCAGTCAGATTTAAACTTTAACTTAAACATATGCTGGAAATGGCTTGGTTCCTAGACTTAAATTTCCAAGTGTACACATCCTCTACAAGGAAGACACTCTGTTTCTAATTGGGCGTTGAAAGAGGATTGGCATAATGGGGACTGAAAGACAACTTCGTTGCATGACAACGACTAATTTGGTTGGTGGCAAGTAAAATATTTCATAACAAATAAAATACCTTTTTTTTTTTTTTTAACAACTAGAGTATTCTCCTGCCCACCCCCTCCCCTCTCTCCCCCCAAAACACACACACACACACACACACACACACACACACACACACACACACAAACACACACACAGCACTTACAGTTCTAGGGGGGATGCCTGTTCTGTCAAGTTAGGGATGTTTCTCTCTGACTCCTCATTGTCCCATCCAGCACTTGCCACTAAGCACATTTGGGGACTGATGCTCCATGGGTTAAGAGACCATGTCTTATGCCCTGTGCATTCCTTTGGTAGGAACTAATCTATTTTTTGAATTTTGGAAAAAATGAAATTGTATTTCAGAATCTATTTTGATAAGTTTTCAACTCTGCTCAACTGTTATTTATAGCTATGAAAGTCTTTTTTTCCCAACAGCTTTAACATTAGGGTGACCAGCTGCCCCTGTTTGCCTGGGATCAAGAGGAGGGGGGGAGTGCGGGATGTCAGGCTGTTAGAACTAGGAAAGTCCCCAACAAATAGGTTCCCTATTAAAATTATGAACCCGTGTAAAGGTTCTTGGAGATAGGATAGTGTTTTTGCGTCTAGAACAGAAGAAAGCCCAAGAGTGGAAATTCAGTGGCGACGTTGGTTGACTTGGAGGCTAGGATGACGACTATGGTGGAGACTGGAGTCGAGGTTAGACCCTTGGACTGGAAGGAGAGCCCAGCCTGCAAGTGCAGGGAGATGCAACCTTAAGTGATGGTAGTTAGCAAGACGCTGTCCACAGAGGTGAATAAAAGTTCTCATTACGCTGAAACCGGTTTGGCTCAGTGGATAGAGCATCGGCCTGCGGACTGAAAGGTCCCGGGTTCGAATCCGGTCAAGGGCATGTACCTTGGTTGCGGGCACATCCCCAGTGGGGTGTGTGTGTGTGTGTGTGTGTGTGTGTGTGTGTGTGTGTGCAAGAGGCAGCTGATCAATGATTCTCTCTCGTCGATGTTTCTGACTCTCTAATCCTCTCTCTTCCTCTCTGTAAAATATCAATAAAAATATATTTTTAAAAAAAGTCCTCATTACCAAGGAAAGTGCTTTGTTAGCCTAATTGCCTCTCATCTGTACTGTATATATCTTATGCATGAACAACTTTCTGATTTAGAGATGAGATTGATATAAAGCTTTTAATAAAAAAGAAAAATTGCCAAAACTAGTTTGGCTCAGTGGTAGAGCGTCGGTCGGCGGACCAAAAGGTCCCAGGTTGATTCCGGTCAGGGGCATGTACCTTGGTTGCGGGCACATCCCCAGTGGGGGATGTGAAAGAGGCGGCTGATTGATGATTCGCTCTCATTGATGTTTCTAACTCTCTCTATCCCTCTCTCTTCCTCTCTGTGAAAAATCAATAGAATACATTAAAAAAAATTGCCCTTAAAACCCTATCCAGATGTAGCTGCATTCAATTTAGAAAGATAACATTGGGTCAGACAAGGGTCGGACAGTTCACCAATGGCAAGGGGCTGGGATTGTGACGGGCCAGGATCTGGATGTGTTGATGTGACAATGGAGAGTTGGCAGAAGCCAGGGCATTCCACCCGTAGCCAGCTCTCCCAACCCATCAATCTTGGTGGCTTAATCCGGAGATCAAAACACATGGAAATAGCAAAGTAAATTTGAAATTTATTATCATTTCAGACAGATTGCAATAAATATCTAGATTTGGCAGATGAGGAAGGTCTGTGTGTTCTTTTGGTACAAACTTGGAACATTGGCTCATTAATAGGAAAGATGATTAGAAAATAAACTAAACCAGAACTGTTAAAAGTGTAAGGAAATAAGATCTTTAAAGGAAAGCAAGGGTGTATTCCCAATTTTTTTTTGGAGGGTGCAAGGGATTATAGCTTATTTGTACCAATCTAAAATTTATTTTATTATTATATTTATTGGGATAACATTGGTTAATAAAATTTATATAGGTTTCATGCATACAATTCTACAATACATCACCTGTATATTGTATTGTGTTAACCACCCCAAGTCAAGTCTCCTTTCTTCACCATTTATCCTTCCTTTACCTTCCCCCACCCTAAAGTTTAAATTTAAAAATAGAATAACTGTCTGTTTTAAGTGCTGACAATAAATAAAATGGAACCAAGTAACTTCTACCTTTTAATAAGTCCACAGAGGACTTGCTTTTATGACTAGATAATAGTTAGCATTTGAATTATTTATATACAAATGGATACCTCTAACTTCCCCAAATCTTACTACAGATCTATCGCAGAAAGATGAGACATGCAATAGAAATGGTAGTCCTCTTCTTTTTAAAGCTTTTTCCCCCCACCTGTTCAAGCCTTTCCCCTCCACATTCCACATTGTCTCATTCACTCATTGGCTTACTCACTCATTCAATGAACATTCATTGAACATTTACTGTGTGTCAGGAGATATGCCAAGTATGTACATAGAACGATCAATAAGGTCTGCTCTTACATTCAGTTAATTTACACCAAATAAACCAGTTATCCAGACCTGATTGTTATCGAGAGGTTCTCCGTGGGTGTCCTGGCATAGGGACGAGCACTTTCTGTGTGTTAGTCCTGTAGGCTGAGGCTGTTATCACAAATCCAAGGGATATGACCATAAGCTGAGTGAATGGCTGGCTATGCACTAAGGGGTTTACAGCCTTGGATACGAATGGGCAGCTACTGGTTGAAAGAACCATTAATGAAGGAGGAAGGTTACCAGGCATGGCCAGGGGCTGAGGAAAAGATTCTTTCCCAAATTAAACATTGGAGCAAGATGTGTGGGAAGCAAGTGGCAGAGGGCTCAGTACCTGGAATGTTTTGTACATATTGGCTACCTTCTTTCCTTCTTCTCTCCCTCTTTTTATTCCCTCTACTGCCTTCCTATAAATCTATATATTTGCATACTGTAATATACTATACTACATAATATAAACATATTTTAAATATGTAGTTTATATACCTATATATTGATAAATACATAGTGACAACTTAAGTAAAGCCAGGTCAACAGATGTCTCCATAGAGAACTACACTGATGTCCGATAGAAGATTCTGAAAGAAAATGAAGGTGTCAAGAAGATCCCATCTATTAGTAAATGTAGAGCATGAAGTTTCAGTGGCCATCCTGAAATGCATTTTGTTTCAAAAAAGATGCATCAGAATGATTCTCTTTGAAACACGTGGTTGCAAAGGAAAAGCTGCAGCCAAACTTGACTTTCAGGCCTGATCTTTCTGAGCAGCACAGTTATTTAAAAAAAATTAGAGAGGACATATACTCCCCAGTATGCCACAGTCCCCACCTGTCCTTACTGTCTTAAAACATCTACCTAACCAGATCCTGCAGAAATTAGAATTTAAAGACCCTGGCTGACTTAGCCAGTTTGACTCAGTGGATAGAGCATTGGCCTGAGGACTGAAGGATCCCAAGTTCCATTCTGGTCAAGGGCATATGCCTGGGTTTCAGGGCTCAGTTCTCAGTGGGAGGTGTGCAGAAGGCAGCCAACCAATGATTCTCTCTCATCATTGATGTTTCTATCTCTCTCTCCCTCTCCCTTCCTCATATATATATGAGAATCTGGTGAGGTGGAAAGATCCTGAACCTTAGAGGAGGAGGCCTGGGTTTACTCCCACCCAATCTCTTTCCTCATCTAAGATGATTTTATTGTCATGAAATTGAAAGTCCCTGACTACACCACGATCTAGTAATTGTAGACTGTATTTGGTCAGACAGAAAGATGATGGTCATCAACTCACAGCAGTACTTTGAAACCAAAGAAATGGGTGTGTTAAGCAGTCTTGGCAGGAAATGTTCATCAAATGAATGTTAAAGAATAACTACTGGCATGGATACAGCCCTGATAATGGCGTGTAGACTGTCAGATCTCATGGTTCCCACCTCGAGAATCCGTCCATCTTCATCAGCAGGCCCCCCTCTAAAAGGTGCCTGGAAACCATGGCAGTGAAGTTCAAGGGCTGGTCTCTTCCCGGGGGTCATAGGCCTGTGATGTGTTGCAGGTCCCTCCGGGTTACCTGGCCTGAATGGCTTGCATGGTTTAAAGGGTCAGAAAGGAACCAAAGGAGCTTCAGGTAAGAGGAAACCCTCCGTGAGAGACTTACCTGCAATCAGTGGACCTCTGGTAGGTATTTCCTCACTTCTCACAATGTGGGCTGTGAAACAAGGAAACTGGCTGAGCACAGAGACACAACGATGGGACTCCTTTTAGTGCTGAAGATGACTTATATAAAAAGGACCCTTGAGAAAACCCAAAGTAAGAAGGGATAGTTGGTAACAGTGCCTTTTGTTGATGTTGCTTGGGATGATCTCTCTACTAAAATACACTGGGTAATTGCTTAGGTGGGGCAAGATTTCACAATGTTATGAAGAACAAATAAATAGCCCGGATTTTTTTTTGTCTTGTTTTTCTTTTAGGTGTAGTATTGCCAAGTACAACCATGTGGGTCTAATTAGCACTTTTAGCATCTCTCACAGAGCCTGCTGCTGAAACAAATTACCTGAACAAATTACTGTTACTTTGGACATAACAAATAGATAATTATCGACAACTGCATTTTAGTTTGTTCCGGTATTTTGATATAATGCACATTTGTTGCATGACTTTCTCAGAAAAATAGCTCACCATCAGACAAGGTGGCTGGAGTCAGACAAACAGATGTGAGGGACTGTGGGAAAGGATTGAATTGCTGTGCTGCTAGATTTAAGTCTGTTGAATCTTCATACAGTTCAGAAGGCCACGAAGTAAAATTTGGGCCACGTAGGATTCATTGGTGGCTGTTCTAAATAGTCTGATAAAATGTGTGTTCCCTCCAAACAACCAATGATGCTCTGTCTTTTCAATGTGAAAGTTTACAATAATTCTATGTACATGTCAGTTTCCACCTTCAATTTCAAACCAGTTTATTCATAATTGCTCATTGCTGGATCTCATTTGTTTTTACTCTTTCCATTATAGAGCTTTGACAGATGGTATTGTCACTGGGTTGTTTTTTAAAAAAATATGGAAAATAATTACAAAGTAGATCAAGCCTATGGTTGACCAGTGTGATGGGTTTTAAGAGAGTAAGTGGTCACCTGGGAAACATATGCAGCCATTTGGGTCACCATTGAAGCTGAGGTTGGTCTCAGCAGAACCAGTTGTTTCCTGGTCACACCATTACCACTGAGACAAACAGGGAGGAGATACAGTGCTAAAATTGTCTTCTACATTAAGGTTTGAATGAAACGGGCCCACCTGGCCCGATGGGAATGCCTGGGCTGAAAGGAGAGAGAGGTGACCCCGGGAACCCAGGAACTTCTCCTCCAGGCCTTTGTGGAGATAAAGGCCCCCCAGGCCTCCCAGGTAAGAAACAGAATGCTTCTCTTCCCCCCCCCCCCCTCTCCATACTGAAATCAAAATCTCGAAATGTAATGAGGCTCACATCTGGACATGTCCATCCTCAGGGAGACCTGGACCACCTGGTCCTGCAGGTGCCACAGGAGGACCTCCTAAGGGTTATTTTCCTGACCCCGGTCAGCCTGGAGATCAAGGACATCCTGGCCCCAGTGGCCCAAGAGGTACGGGAAAATCCTGGCCAAGGTTGGTGATGCCCCTTTCCTGAGATGCTGCCAGCTCTGTAGGGAGGGGGGACCAGAGAATGGCAGAGGAGAAGCCCCTCAGCAGCCCCATTATTTGGGCAGATGGAAAGGTGGGGGTGTGGGCAGCGGTGGGCTAGCAGGCCCAGGCCCAGCAGAGTCCAGGCCCCTCACTCTTCTATGTCACCCTTTCAGACCACCTCTCTGTGAGTACAAACTCTGAATCAGAGCAAGCCCTTCCTGTCACCATCCGATGTTGCATGTGAGGCTGTAGCAGGGGCAGGGATCTCATCCTGCCTGTGGGTGTCTGCACCTGGCCCCTAACCCTCTGCCACTGGCCCAGAGTGACAGGACGCAGGCCTGGTTTACACACAAAGACAGAGCTCTCTCTGTGCTGCTGCCAGTCCATTTTGCTCCTCTCATCACTTCCTAGAGACAAACTTCAGCAAGGCAATATTTAAGCAAGCAGGGTTGGACCCGAGCTGGGCAGGGAATGAGGGAAGAGCGTGGCTCAGTGCAGTGTTTTGCTAAATTCAGATCATCATATTTCTCCTTATCAAAGAGAGACACAAACCACCATCATTAAGTGCTAAACATTTTAGTAAAGGTGGGATTACAGTACTATATAATCCTATTTCACTGCAAAAGTAAAACTGCTTAAAACAGCATCGTTTTAGTAGAATAAAATTTGGGTTCAATTCCTATGTGTAGATACTTGTTTTCAAATATGATTATAACTGAGTGAACATTTCTTTCACATCAGCCAAATTTTCTCATAAGTGTATCATTATTCATCTATCATCTATCTATCTATCTATCTATCTATCTATCTATCTATCTATCTATCCATCCACCCACCTATCCTCTACCTTATTAAAGCAATGGGATAGCAATGCAAACAAAAGGAATGGCTCTGAAGAAAAGAAAGGCTTTGCTTGGGTTCATTTTGTCCAACAGCCATGACAAACCACTTACACCATTTCTCAAACTCCACGAGACCTACTCTCTGTTTCACTTCTGACACTATTGATTTTCTCGTTTTTCTAATTCCCTCCATCCCTTGCCTGCAAACCATTAAATTACTCCCCTGAGGAAGCTCCCAGGCAGCCAACACACAGGCTTGTCTTTGACTGAAAGAACCTTTTGCCTCCTCCCTGTGGCCAGGACCCCCTGGGCCTCCAGGGCCCCCTGGGAGCATTGACCTTCTGCACGGGGATCCAGGAGACTGTGGTCTGCCAGGCCCTCCAGGTCCCCGCGGCCCGCCCGGCCCTCCAGGATCCAAAGGCCTCCCAGGATGTGATGGGAACAATGGCCAGAAAGGTATGAATGCAAGTTGTTCCTTAAGTAGTACCTGAAGGCTTCTGCTCTCTTGTCCTGAGGGTCTGGAGTGCTGGACCACCATGACCTAATTCCTATTTTCTGTTGAGTCAGTGGCTGTATTGCCCAAATGTTCTGCTTTTCCAAAGAGTCCTCAAGTTCTGGTAACTGTCGGACAAGTAAGGTTAGAAATACAAGTTCATCTTTAGCCCCTTAAAGTATACTTGGTAACATCTTAGACCAGAACCAAACAACAGAAATATAACGCTGTGTAATTAAATGACGTAGGCGGAGGTGAGCTTGATTTGCACCATGCAAGACCAGCAGGACTTTGTGGGCGGGAGGAGGAGTGGAGACAGCTCGTGCCAGGCACCAAATGGCTGGCAGGGAAAACGGAGAGTGAGACGGAGAATGGTGGGGACTCTGATCTGGGAGTCAGTTTCCCAGGTAGCACAGCATCTTCCCTAATTTTTCTTCACTGCAGTCCTTTGACTCTCTCCAGAAGAAGTTGAGGATCGCAGGGCTTCTCGCTCTCATTTAGTTTTGGCTTGGTCATGGGACCATTTTTCTGAGTCCCTTTGATGAATTCTGGGGTTTCCTTCCCACATAGGCAGTTCTCAGCTTCACAGAAGAGAGAGACTGTTCTCCACCCGCTGCCAACTTTACCTATTATAGCATTTTGTTGGTGTGAACCTCTGAATCCTGTCCATCAAACTGTCACTGACTGGTATTGCTCCATTCCACTGCCCCTGTTTTTATATGTTCCTTTTAGGACCAGTGGGGTTCCCGGGGCCCCAGGGGCCACATGGACTTCCAGGGTCACCTGGAGAGAAGGGTGTACCTGGCCCTCCGGGTAGACAAGGGCCCCCTGGGCCTGCAGGTGAGCTCCTGATGCCTCCTCCTCTCCACCCAGCAGCCCGCACAGTGGGCTTCGCACAAACATTTCCGTTCACAGTCCTCTTTCAGAAGCAATTCTTCTGAAGGTAGCACATTCTTCTGAGTTCAGTCCTTTTGAAATAAAGGTTGCATTTACTTCAGGCTGCACTACAAAGTCTCCTGTTTGGTGAACTAATATTTACCAGTATTATTAAAATGGGAAAGTTTGAACACTAGGAGTGGATTTTACACATACTATCTGGACAATGAATCAATCTGTGTTCCCTCACCCAGGAGTCAAAGACTGAGTTGATTATTGTTCTGTGAGGATGGCATAATCTGTTCCTATCTCTGACTTCCCATTGGTTTGGCTAGATACTTTATTTAATGTTTTCTGTAAAGTGCATTAATGCCTATGAAGTTGAAAGGTTATTTAATTTAAACCCCATAGACCACATGTTTTCATCCGAGTGTCAAAATAAGCCAATGGGTTGTTGAAAGGGCAAACAGACATATTTGAGATGGGCAGAAGTAATATCTCTCAAGATCTTACATCAATATTATGGTAGTGTGGCATCAGTTCAGAATATCTGGTTATCTCCTAAATTAGTACTCTAGTCCAAAGAATAAATAAACTGCACTGCTCAATAGTGGATCATAGTTGAACATGACAGAGAGCTTATACTCTGATTCATCTCATACTTCCTTTCTTTAAATAAACTATAAAACTTGGCAAATTAATATGGAATTTTCAGAAGCCTTCAAATAGGCAGAATTTCTATATACATTATTATAAATTGGGGCGTATTTTCAAAAAAAAAACACAACACCTCAAATTTTATGTGGTGCAGAAGAGCTTCATTTCAGGTTTTTCTAGATATGAAAGCTCCATTACTAAGTCATAGCTGTTCTTGTCAGTAACACTCTGGGATATATATTTTCTGATTTTAGAAAGAGAAAAAGGAGAGGGAGAGAAGGAAACATCAATTGGTTGCTTCCCATACATACCCTAACCAGAGGTCGAACCCACAACCTAGGTATGTGCCCTGACTGGGAATCCAGCCTGCAACCTTTTGATGTACGGGATCGATGCTCCAACCAACTGAGCCACTCGACCAGGACTCACTATGTGGACTTTTTAATGTCATGCTGCTTGCTTTCGATGCTGTCTTCAATTTAATATTTATGTTCTCAACAATCTATTTCACGATTGTCCTAATTCATGATTTAAAATCTCTTTCTACCACATGAAAATCATTGTGCGGCCTTGTTTTTGCCTTTGGATCTCTCCAGGTGACAGAGGTAAGCGTTGCTATAAAATGAATAATTTCCTCTAACTCTTATTTTCAGCCACCTCTCTACTTCCATTTTTCACTGCATTTGGGAGTTCAACTTGTTACATTTATATATGCGGGGTCCTGTATTTATATTGGTTGTAATGCCTTTGCTTGCTCGTTACAGATATAGTAACCCCATATTAGACTGTCCTATGCTGAGCCTCATTGCAGGTTGTCAGGGACTGTGCAAACTCAGCTTCCATAGTTTCAAATCAGGCCCAGAGTATGTGGCTTTCTCTGTCAGATGCCAAGGTACCCACCAACAGAAACTTCTTTTATAAACCTCACAGTGTAAATGCCTGGAACACCCCTAAACTAAGTGGTATCAGAGGCATGAAAAGACCGGTCCTTAACACCCCGTAAGCGGCTTCAACAAGCCTTTCCTGGGGCACCGGAAGTCCGTTTCAAGGAGCAAATTTCTTTGTGTGTTCAAGTGAAAAATGCTATTATTCATGTAAACTGAGTGTTCATTTTAACCCCCCACAATGCAAAAGCAATATATAATTTTATGCTTGGCATTTTCAAAGAGAATGGAGTTTCTCAAAAGAAGGAAAGCAAAGCTGTGAACGCTTGCATTTCTTCCTTCCTGGCACCTGGTATTAACCCCATGAAAGTTGCCCTGGATACAGATGCCCTGTATCATCACCAGGGTGCTGAAAAGAGATGTCTTGGCCTCTTTCTTTCAGCTTGTGGTTTATTTTTTTTTTAAAGCAAAATCATAATTTAAAAAAAAATCCTGCTCTTATAAATGTCTATATTTTATTTTATTTATTTTTTATTTATAAATGTCTATATTTTAAAATGACAGTTGTATATTTACTGAATTTTCACTTCAACCCTTTTACTGACTCTCCGTGACCGTATGTATCAGCTCATTTGAAGAAACATCAAAATCCTAAATCTGAAGGCCCAGCCAAATGCATCCCCACATGCTTCCCTTCCCTGCTGCCTCCACTCCTTCACCGTTGGTGAGCAACAGGATGACTCAGGGAACTCAGGACATAGTCACCGGCATTTCTCTCAAATCGCTCCCAATGGAAGAGACAAGTTTTACATCAAGCTTTCCGTACAGTAAAAATGCACCCAGCTCATTGTTGCTGTGGTTTCATACAGTATTCAAAAGAGGCTAAATTCCAATGTCCTTACAGGGTTCAAATTCAATATGCACAGGCACAGTCACCATAGTGTAGACTCAAACGATGAAATTGTGGCATGTTCTTGGTTTTTTTTGCTGCTTTATCATTGCTGTTCTTAAAACTATTTTGCCCATTTGTATGAATTTTAAGAAAACCTGTAAACAGGTGTTAAAATATACTGAATTCCTCGGCATTTACCATACAGATGTTAAAAGCTCCGAAGGCACTATGGTGTGGCTGGGAAGAACACAGGTTTGGAGTCAGAACATACTGTCTTCAATTTAATATTTATGTTCTCAACAATCTATTTCAATCTATTCTAATCTAGACCGGTCCCCCATTTAGCTGAGCCTGAGCTTTCTTTCCAGTGACACCCTAGTAACAGCAGCACATACACACAGGCTGGGAGCATGCAATTGTGAAGCACTGGGCACAGGGCCTTCAGTACATGTTAGCTATTACTATTATTGCTTAGGGTTATTATTTCTTCTTCTTTGTGGACTATTTGCAGAGGGACTGAATGAAACTTTAGGGAAAAAAATTCTTAAAGATGTGAATATAACCAAGGAGAGAGACATTTCAAACCTCTAGAGCAGTGGTTCTCAAAATGAGAGCCCAGGTGGACACCATCAGCCTCATGGGAACACGTTAGACCTGCAGAGGTTGGGCCTGCCCAGTCCTGCTGGCTCAATATTCTGAACTCTAACAGTCTTGCCAGATGATCCAAATGTGGCTAAACTCAGAACTGCAGCTTTGCATTGGTGCTTCTCAGTCATGGCCCACACTGGAATCATCTGGAGAAAAATTGGTGCCTGGGGCCCACCCCCAGAAATTCTTGTTTAATAATTCTAGGTGGAAAGGACTTATGTGCACACATATGAGCCTAACCAGTGGTCAAGGACAATAGAGGAGGGGGTGGGGGCATAAGTGGAGGTGGGGGGTGGGGGGTTGGAATAGGGGGTTGAGGGCAAATGTGATACCTTAATCAATAAAAAAATTAATTAAAAATAATAATTTTAGGTGGGTCCCAGCACCAATGCTTTTTAAAAACTCCCCAGCAGGGTTTATCAGACAACCAAGCTTGTGGGCACTGCCCAGGCCACATCCTGTACCAATTCAACCAGAATTTCTGTAGCAGGATGCAGGATATAGGCATCAGTATTTTATAACTGCCCTAGGTAATTACAGTGTGAACTCAAAGTTAAAAATCAAGATTTGGTACCTATATTAATCCCAAAGTTTTCTCTCTCTGAGTAGCAGATACTATGGAACCACACCTGGCTGCAATGTAGAGTGATGAATTAGACAGATGTTAAGCTGAGCATTATCATAGGAATACACCAATACCTCTCCCAACGCCACCTGTGGCTGGGTCCCCAGTAAAAAGTGGCCCAAAGATTGGAAATCCTGTGAAGTGCACCAAATTATTGCTGATTCAGCCAACCTTCATTATTTCATACTTTGTTTTTGTTTTTTTTGCTTCCTAAAGGAGATCCCATTCACTTACTTAATTATTCAGTCAGTCAGTAATTTGACAAAATGCTTTCTAAAGGTTACAAGGGCTATCAAACAGTTTCAACAAGGTGTAGGGTCAGAAGCCCTTCTAACTTGAGATGGCAGAAAGGGCTTGTTCATAAGTATTTAAATTCATCACACAAGTGGCAATTCCAATTTCAGGCGAACCGGGGCCACCTGCAGATTTGGATGCCTGCCCCCGAATCCCGGGGCTTCCTGGGGTACCAGGCCCAAGAGGACCAGAAGGAGCCATGGGGCCCCCCGGAAGGAGAGGCCCTCCGGGAGCAGGTAGGAGCCTGACACTGATGGTTCATTATTGGTATATACATACTGCTGACGTGGAAACTCAGTGTTTTGCCATGTAGGGCTATTTTTGTTTGTTTTTTGAGCCTAAACAACTAGTGCAGATGCAGTAATGAAAATGTTCTTCCCTTGTATATATTTTTTTTCTACATTTATCCAAAGGTTTAATCATATACTAATTGGGTCATGTTGCCCCTTCCATTTTTTATGTTGAAATTTTACTTAAGTCTTCTATATTTGATCAGCTTGTGGACATGAGGTTTTGAAACTTCTTAGCACAACAGAGTAGATGCTCTGTGCAATGTCATTAATAGCTGTTGACTTGATTTTTCAATGAAGAACAACTTAATTTGGGCCCCCTGGAGCAGAAACAGCATACAAGCAAGGAGAAGGAGGTGTATCCTTGGAGGAGCAAGAGGGAAAGATGAGGGAGGTTCACTCTAATTACGGCAATGACTGCATTGTTTATTTAATTTGAGCATTGCTCAGTCCTTGTCAGATAGCGGATCCTTATTTAAGGATTTAAACTAAACCATCCCTTTGAAAAGTGTGCTCCAAATAATTTATTTTCTCTTCTCATATCTCCACCAACTTGGGTAACTTACAAAGCGATTAGGAAGTCGGGGCTGGTCTTCCAGTTTCAGACCAATTAACAGTGCCCCTTGGTTCTAGAAACCTGTGTGCAAATGATCCTAAGAGACACAAGGCCATTACAATCTCATCTTCCCAGCCACCCTGCTATTGTTTTAGTTCTTTTTTGTTTTAGGACCAAAAGAATTAGGAGTAGGAATTTTGCACCACCTGCTTTTCTCCCAGGTGGTGGAGGGCTCTGAGATGCCCCTCCACTGAAGTCTGAATAGTTCTTGGGTGGTGTCTACTTTGGAGCCTTCCTAGAAGTTGGGGGGTCGGGGGCAAAGGGGCTGTTGTTTGTACTTGCTGCTCTGTATCTGCGTTTGTGCACTAAGTTAACTGGTGTTCACTGGAGCCACTTTCTCTGAAAGCCCACAAGCCCTGGGAATTGGCAATCACTTCTCCTCTTAGCTTTGACCCTAAGCGCATGGACAAAGCTCTTAGTCAGGTGGGGTAACTCACCTCTCAAACTGCTTTTAAAACCAAGCTGCCTTGTTGTATATATATTGCAGAAATGAGAGCTTCCCCCAAACTTTACAAATTAGCTTCCAAGCAGAAGCTATAGCCTATAATGGGGCTCTGCGAATTCAGTTCACAAAATGCTTCCAGACTCTTTCTCTTCAGAAAGTAGTAGCAGTATAGCTGTGGGTAAGATGTTCTTTCCTGCCCCTGCCCTGGGGTCTCACAGCCTTATGGAAGACATGGCCAGAGAGCATAATTCATGCTCAAGAATGACAGATAATAATTTGCATTTTAAAGGAGTTTCAAGGAAAAGCATTTATGAGATGAGACCAGGAGTGGTGAATCCTGTGTAGAGATTGTAGAACTGCTAAGATCCCAGCAAGGGGTAGCATTGGAGTGGAGCCTTGGAGGAAAGATTGAGCTTAGAACAACCAGAATTGTCCAACAGGGAGACACAGGAGCACAAATGGGGGCAGGTCAGCCTAATAACCTGGTAACAAAGAGCCAGCCCCATCCTTCCCACCCAAAGTACAGTCACACCCCAGACCTACTGAATTAGAATCTGCATTTTAACAAGATCTCCAAAATATTGCAAGTTCATTCAAGTTTGAGAAACTCTAACTATATTATATGAATGCTGCTCTTAAAATTCAGTTAAGAGTGACACCTTCCCTGTGGCTCAGTCCTAGCTGTAGGTTAAAGTCACCTATAGGGCTTGTGAAAGGCTGACATCTGGGCTTCATCCCAGAGCAATAAAATGCAGAGGGAAGCAGAGCCCCAGTGTCAGGGTTTTAAGAAAGCTCCCCAGATGGCTGGGGCAGGCAGCCAGGGTTGAGACCCATTGCTTCCTGGTGGCTTTGGAAAATAACCAAGGAAAGTAACCGAGAAGAAAAAAAGTCATCTGGGCAAATTCTGTACACTTTTATTTTTTATTATTTTTTTAAAATATATTTTTATTGATTTTTTGCAGAAAGAAAGGGAGAGAGATAGAGAGCCAGAAATGTCGATAAGAGAGAAACATCAACCAGCTGCCTCTTGCACATCCCCTACTGGGGATGTGCCCGCAACCAACGTACATGCCCCTGACCAGAATCGAACCTGGGACCTTTCAATCCACAGACCGACGCTCTACCACTGAGCCAAACCGGTTTTGGCAAATTCTGTACACTTTTAACGTAGTAGCGATCTTGGGCACATATGAGTTTCTCGTTCATAGTGAGCTTCTGACAGAGGCCGACAGCCTCTGGGCCCAGGTGTGCTCACCTGTCATCTCCAATTCCCCCCGACGTGGGGTCAGATGGGCTCATCCAGCCACAGGGGACCACAGAGGTCCTTCTCTGGCTTCCTGTGCCCTCCCCTTATTGATGCCACCGACCCTGCCTGCTGGCCAAGGGAATACCCTCAGCCACAGTTGTGCCACAGAATGTGATTATGTTAAGCCAGGGCTGCCCCACTCCATAGCTCAGCTTCCTCCTGTGTACCCCCTTTCAAGCCATGCTTCCTTCTGGGCTCCCGTTCTTTGATGGGTGCCCTGGGCCCCTATTATAAAGGACCCCTCTTTTCCTTGGTCCTCTCTTCTTCTACTTCCTGCTGACCACCCTGGATCCATTGGCCATATACTGTCCAGATGCTAAAAAGTGAGGAGTCTATTCTGAGGGTCTGAAATGGCTCAGCACTGACTGACCTGGGTTATCTGCAAGTGGGAGGGGCAGCAAACACCGCTCCCCCCACCCCCCAAGGTTGGCTGTGAAGGATCAGCTGCCACTGGAAGTCCCACCTCAGCGGCTACTAGGAAGTCCCACCTCTGCTTAAAATGACATTGTTACTTTCTCCTGTTCCCCTTAAAATCTTTCCCATTGCCGAGCCGATGATACCAGGCACATAACCAGGTGTTGCAGCTGAGATCTACATAGAAAAAAAACTACCTGCTCTTTCCTGCCCTGGTGAGCGTGGGTCACAGCCACACTAAGTATCACTCAGTGTGTTAAGGGGCCTCCACCACGGAAAGTCTAGTGCTTTTCTCTTCACACGTCTCTGATGCTTCAAAGGCTGAGGCTCCCGGTGACAAATACAAGGCGGTTTCCATTGTGGTCGGAACTGTTACTGCCTAATGGACGTGCCCACATCCTATTGAGGTGTGTTTCTCTTCAAGTCACATGTGACCCTCTCAGCGGAGGTAATCATCGAACACTGGAGGGCTCTTAGATGTCATTTTATTTTTTAAAGCAAGTTCCAGGTAGAGAGTAAGTCCAGGTAGTAGAAAGCTCTGGGCACACAACTCGAGCTAGCAAAAGTCTTCCTTTCTGTCTTCGGAAATGTCACCCACCTGACTAGTACTCTGTCTTCCCTAATGGGAGCAAAGCCACATGATAACATTGGTGAGAGAACTCTTCTCCCAGATCCACAGAGATCTCATTCACTCGACATCTCAGGGGGGACACCCTTGATCTCTTCCATGAGCAGCCTGGTCGCTGGCTTGTCTTATCAGCACGTGGGCAGCCCCTTCCAGAGAGCACAGTGGTCACTTGTTGGAATCATCTCGTTGAGTGGAGAGAGAAAGGATGTTCTGAGTTCAATAGGGTTAAGGTTAGTGTTAGGATTAGGGCCCTGTGTTCCCCTTCCTCCCCCCTCCTCCCCCCATAACAGATATGTTCTTTGAAGATAGCCGATTTGTAGCAGAGAGAGAGGAAAAGAGAAGGAGAGAGGGAGAGATAAGAAAAAAGAGGGAGGGAGAGGTTCAGAGGAAATGAGAGGGAGAGGAAAAGAGGGAGAATAATAACTAGAGACTAGAAGCCTTGAGAGGGCTAGTGATTGGGGAAATAGGGCGATTGGCAATACACTGCTTCACAGCAAGGACCATGTCTGCTACTCTGAGCAAAGGACATTGTGGCAAAGAATTGATGTCTTGGCCCAAAGTAAGCAAACATTTAAAGAACGCTTCGAATACCAATGTGGCTGTGCCAAGTCCCCCAGCATACGTCCACCAAGGAGCACACCTGAGCTCTGTGCCTTGTCCGGAAGCAGGTGGCTGATGGTACAGCCTCTGGACTCAGCCAACCTGGGCCCCTTTTCCCATCCACATGTGACTGGCTCTGCAGCAGGTCTGAGCCTCAGTCTCCCCACCAGTAGCCTGGCACATGTGAGGACCTGAGCACATGGCTGCTGTCAAGGCTGAATTAGATCATCACCCAACAGGATTGTTGTGGTACTTAGCACTTTATAAATACTAAAAAAAAAAAAAAAAAAAAAAAAAAAAAAAACTATGCAAAAAAAAATTGCTCTTCTTATCTGGCTCCAAATTTAACTTGACCTCTAACTGAATCTTATTAAATTTCATTCATTCCTTCATCCAGGCTTTTAAAAAAAATCAGTATTAAGATAATATATATTTTTAATTTGGCGCTTTTTATTTTAATTTTTAAAAAATACATTTTATTGATTTTTTCAGAGAGGAAAAGAGAGAGATAGAGAGTTAGAAACATCAATGAGAGAGAATCATCGATCAGCTGCCTCTTGTACACCCCCTACTGGAGATGTGCCCACAACCAAGGTACATGACCTTGACCGGAATCGAACCCGAGACCTTTCAATTGGCAGGCCGATGCTCTATCCACTAAGACAAACCGGTTTCAGCAGTATTAAGATAATATTTAATGGTAAAACCTATACATGTTTAATGTAAAAAATAAAATAAATAAAAGGTCAGATATATAAGAATGTGAAGAACATGTGAAAATTCTCAACACCGCCCTGGTCTGGCCGCAGATCCTGCCTCTGCCCCTTATTGGCTCTTGGGCCTTGATTAGCAAGTTGATTGGCCTTTCAGAGCCTCAGTCACCCCAGTGCCAAGTGGAGACAGTATTCACTGGCAGCTGAAATGCGCAGAGCAGTTCAGGTGGAAGCTGTGTATGCACAGTGAGGCTGCGGCCAGCAGGTGTCACATGGTTCTCACACTGCCATCGTGGACTTTGTGCAGGGTGCAAAGGAGAGCCTGGGCTGGATGGCAGGAGGGGTGAGGATGGCATCCCAGGACCGCCTGGGCCTCCGGGACACAAAGGGGACACCGGAGAAGCCGGCTGCCCTGGAGCACCAGGTAAAGTTTCAGTTTCTCATCTTCCTTCTGACAAGCAGATCTGAGAACTGGGCCCGGGATCCCCAGCTCTCGGGCAGCTGTTCAAGCTGATCTGTGAAAAGCATTGGCCTTAGATACCAACTCACCAGGTGTCAGGGAGATGTAAACAGCAAGAACAAACCCGGGGGTGCCCCCACGTTCTGACTCTCACCCGCCCTCCAGAGGAGTCAAGGCCCTGTCTCCAATCCAGTCTTTTCCCAAAGCACTGGTCCTTATCACAAAGGGCTCAGCCATCTCAGAGGCCCCATGTGCCAAGGTAAGCCTGGCACCTGCCATGTGACCACCTTTGAGAGGCTGTGCTGAGGATCCTGGGATGATGGACAGTTCTCACCCTCGATTTACCTGGCCTCTGGTTTTCTGAGTTCACTTCATCTGACTGTACAGCCCTCGATAAATGTATGTAGCATGCCCAGTTCCTTCCTAAGGAAAATGTTTGGGAGTGGGCATTGTGTGAGGGGAGGGAGAAGATGCCTCAGGACAGAAATGTAAAATATAATGCGCCTGGATAAATGTTAGGCTCCAGGGACCTAGAAACTAGAGGGGTGAGGAGGGCGGGGCAGGCTCTGCCACCAGAAGGAGCCCCGCCTGAAGCAGCAACTCAGCCTGGGCCTGTGGTTGCCACGTGGACATGCAGCCCCCTGCTCCCTATACGCTGCATTTCAAGCCCAAGACCTCATCTTAGAAACCCTGGTGGGCCAAACAAGACCCGGGAGCAGGCTTGATCCAGTCCACAGCTATGACTTTGCAAACTTGTGTGTGCAGTGCAAATGGCTCAGAGAGACAGAGGGTCTTCCAGAAGCAAGTAAAAAAAGACAACCATTTGGTTGTAATGTCAAGCTTCACCTTTGCTCTTGGCAATTAGAAATTGCCATATGCCTCTTCGGTCCGTCAGTCCCTGAGGGGTACCCGAGGGGACAGGCCCTGCTCGCATGCTGCAGGCCTTATTATTTTCCACCTGCCACTGAGAATTTTGGAACTAGGCCTTCTCCCTACATCCTCCTTTATAAAAAGATCAAAAGTCCAACTTGCGGCTTCTTCTTAGAATGAGACTGATAATATGCCAGAACCATGAGACAAGTTCTGGAAGTTGGGAAAGACCTAACCCCCCTCCCTGCCACCACTATACAAGCAAAAGTACATTTAGAAAGTCACAGAATGTGAGCAGTGGAGAAAGTGAGCCAGCTGGTCTGCTTGGGCATAGGAAAAAAGTTAAAGAGGCAAAAGAAGGCCCTAGGGGCTTAGGAGAAAGCAAAGAGGCACACATGCCTAAAGGGAGAAAGTGCAGGCCCCTCTAGAGAGAGACTGCGAGAGCAGGCCAGGGAGACCAACTTTCAGAACCACCTTTTTGGTCAGACAAGTGCCCAGTCCAGCCTGGAATGACTGGAAGATCACATGTAGGTGTGCCATCATCCTGTTCTAGTTCTTTCTCTCAGTGCCCATCACTTTTTAACATATTTCACACTTTATCTCGTTATTATGAGTATTGTTTGTCATGTCTCCAGGTAGACTGTAAGCACAGGGGGTTTTGTCCGTTTTGTTTTTATGCTAACACAGCCCAATGCTTGTAGGTTGTTCGGAATACACACACACTTGCAGAGTGAGTGGTGTGTACAGATCGCAGGGGTGTGAGGGAGCAGTGGGCCCTACCACGTTCCTCTCGGGCCTGAGTGCTTATTGAAGCGCTAGACAGAGGTGCTCAGAAATGTTTGTGAAACTGAACCCCCTAAATGACCTTCCTTTTTTCCCCCCCTTTATTCCTCCAGGCCCTCCTGGGCCCATTGGGGATCCTGGGCCCAAAGGGGTCGGCCCTGGATACCTCAGTGGCTTCCTCCTGGTTCTCCACAGTCAGACGGATGGAGAGCCTACCTGTCCCAAGGGCATGCCCAGGCTCTGGACAGGCTACAGTCTGCTCTACGTGGAAGGACAGGAGAGAGCACACAATCAGGACCTCGGTAAGTACAGAGCGCTGGCCGCCCATGTGCATTGCCTAAGAGTAAACCTGCAGGGTTAATTTTATAAACTCAAGAATATCAAGTGATTACTCATCTTCTTTGGGATTTCCCCCCCTCTATTTATACTACCATGCTGATTCTCAGGGAAGTTAAATTTGTGATCCTGTGACGTGCCAAAGGGATCATTCCGGCTACCGTTATTATTTCTGGCTGGTTATTAGTTTTTCAAAACTTATGGTTAGTAAATGAGATATAACTCTGGTGTAAAATGAGAGATTTTTCACTTCCCCATGTGAATTGTCTGAATGTAAAGTGTGTATTGGCAGCATCCTGATGCTTTCATGGTGTGGCAGTTACCAGGACCAACTCCTGCCCTGCTCCAACTGAGGTGTTTTTTCTTTTAATTTTTAATTTTTATTTATTTTTATATATTTTTAAATTTTATTGAATATGGTATCACATTATTGTCCTCATCCCCCCATTTCCATCCCAAACTCCTCCCCACTTATGCCCCCACCCCCTTGTTGTCTATGGCCACTGGCTAGGCCCATTTGCATGCACACAAGTCCTCTGGTTGATCTCTCTACCTTAACCCCACCCTCCCCGACTTTACCTCTGAGGTTTGAGAATCTGATCGCTGCTTCTCCTTTGAATATCCAACTGAGTTTGAGAGTCATCCTTGGCACTGCTTGTCTGTTCATTAGCAGATTTGTGAGACTGACTTCAAGCCAAGAGTTTAGGGACCATGCCCAGATAATGAAAGTTGGGGTGGGAGCACAGGAGGGAGATGCCTGCCGGGACAGGTGATGGGGGGTGAGTTTTGTCACTGTTCTCACTGGGCCTGACCCCTCACTGGGCTGTCATGGTCAAAGGGTGTAGGCCTGGAGGTGGCAGCTACTGACATGTCCCTCTCCATGTCTCCCTGGGGTTCAGCCATGGCCTCTCCCATCGGAGGGGCTAGGGGAGAGGAAGTACGTCCCTATCTGACTGTTTGCGTCTCTTCTCTCCTTCCTGCCTCCAGTCTCTTTCTTGCCTGACCTTGCCAGCAGTCTCACTTCTCTGTCCCGGTCCAGCCAGGGCACACTTCGCAAAGCTCTGCAGAGCTATTGGGAGAAAACCCAAGTCCCTTAACCAGACAGACAAAGCCCGCATGCTGTCCGGTTGACCTCTGGTTGAGAGAGGGACACACAGACCTCCTCTCCCTCCTCTCTGCCCTGAACTGAACATCTGAGATTCCCGAGCTCCATGGTCTCTCTGCATCTTGACCCTCTTTCCTCTGGATCTTCTTTGAATAGTCTTCACCTTCTCCAAACCTTTGTCATTCAGGTCCTAGCTTCAGTCTGGTTAGCCTTCCCGTAAGTCCTGGCCCACAGTTCTCATCCATAGGGCTTGTCACTCTGTTTTCACGGCCTGTGTACTCCTCCAGCCTCCCACCAGGCCAGGCCCGGAGCCTGGGGAAGAGAGGAGTGCCTGTCACTCTGCCTCCCGCCCCCCCTGGCTGCGTGCTCGGCTCAAGAGTGATGCATGGCTGTGGGAATGAGGGCTGGCCTCCCGGGGACCAGGGAGGTGGCAGAAATGGTCAGGCACATACCCACTTTCGCCAGCACAGAAGTAGACTTTGTCTGGGGCAGGAGGGCCGCTGGGCATGCTGTGGCTCAGATGCCAAGCTGTCTCTTCTCTTTCCCGAGGTCTGGCGGGGTCTTGCCTCCCGGTGTTCAGCACACTGCCCTTCGCCTACTGCAACATCCACCAAGTGTGCCACTACGCCCGGAGGAACGACAAGTCCTACTGGCTGGCCAGCGCGGCGCCCCTGCCTATGATGCCGCTGTCGGAGGAGGACATCCGCCCCTACATCAGCCGCTGTGCTGTGTGCGAGGCCCCAGCGCAGGCGGTGGCGCTGCACAGCCAGGACCAGTCCGTGCCCCCGTGCCCGCGGGCCTGGCGGAGCCTCTGGATCGGGTACTCCTTCCTCATGGTGAGTCCCCGCACCCCACGGTCTTGTCACAGCCTCTGCTGTCCTCTGTGCACAGTAACTCTGTGAACTCGGGCACATGGGCAACAACAGGACATGTGGTCATTTTTCCTCACTGTCAGTTAGGGTTTTTTTTTTCCGTTTTTTTTTTTTCTTTTTTTCTACTCGGTAGCATTTAGAAGCTGGAGATGATTCAGGCATTGGTGAGAATGATTGAATTTTGTGGGCACCCAACTCGTCTCCACTGCCCTTCCCCTCAGCAGAACTAGTCTGGTCTTCTTGGAATCAAAGTCAGGCCCAGATCTCGGCATGTCCCCGACTGGGTCTGGGGTTGTCTGCGTGTGTCTGAGCCCTAATTCTCTTGTTGTCCTGATAGCACACAGGTGCTGGGGACCAAGGAGGAGGGCAGGCCCTCATGTCACCCGGCAGCTGCCTGGAAGATTTCCGAGCAGCTCCCTTCCTCGAATGCCAAGGCCGGCAGGGGACTTGCCACTTCTTTGCAAACGAGTACAGCTTCTGGCTGACGGCGGTCAAGCCACACTTGCAGTTTTCCACGGCACCATCGCCGGAAACCTTAAAGGAGAGCCAGGCCCAGCGCCAGAGAATCAGCAGGTGTCAGGTCTGCATGAAGGTCAGCTAGAGAACCCAGGACTCGCCCACGTGCCACCGAGAGACAATCCCCAGGGGCTCGGTGGTCCCAGGCCATGCTGAGATTTAACGGTGCTCATTTCTGACTCCCGTGATAGCAGTTCATTCTGTTTGATTGTGTTTATTCCCACAGTACTGTACTTCTCTGTTCTGGACAGGTTAAGCAAATGCTACGTGTATGGACAAGGTTGGACCCGCCAATCTAGATGAAACCCAGATCTCCTTATTTTATTGGGGAGGATAGAAGAGCTAGCTTTATAATAATAATTAAAAAAAATGCACAGGAAGGCAAATAGATGATAAAGGGCAGATTACAAGCTACATTACTGAAAACTCCATTCATTGCTTAATAGCACATCAGACAATTGAAGTCAGTTACTCTGGATACGGAGGGCTCCTGGGTGGATTTCCCAGGGAAAAAATTAAATAGGCCAACAGATGAAACTGGAAAGGAGAGATTTCCAACGTTTCAAAATGATTTCCTCTGTAGTCTATTTTTTCCCATGTACTTTAAATAATGGCAAAACCATGACCCGACGAGATTTAAAAACAAAAATCCACACAGCCAGCGTGAACAGCTCATTTCAAAGCACCCTGAGTAGCTGTGCCAGAAAGGACCACGTGGCCATATTCCGGAGATGTGGCATTAGCATAAACACACTGCAGATGAACGTAAAACATTATGCTCTCCGCCGCATCTGTCAGAGGATGGCGGTGCCTACTCTGGCAACCCGTTTGAAAAGCAGCAATTATGGAAAAAATCTATTCAATGAGGATTAAGAGCCTAAAAGCTGTTAATGAATATTAAGACAGTGATTCACAAAAATTGACTTCCCATGGCAGCGAACTTCCAAACAGGCAGCCTTTCCCCAGTGGGGGTCCAGCTTGTCTTCAGTGTGTGCGTGCTAATGGGACGGAGGCCACCTGGGACTTCCCCAGGCAGCACGCGGCTCATACACAGCATCCCGCTCAGGCCCCCAGTGGCCCCTGCAGAGCTGGCTCGCAGCCCACAGTGGACACTCTGCTTCCTACACATAATAGCATCTTGCACGGGGAAGTGAAAGAGCTATCATTACGCCCTTCCAAGAAAATGAAGGGCAGACTTCATTAAACTTAGGTAAGAAGATTTCTTTAAGTCACGATCACCCCGCCAGGAAGAAGAAAGAACAGCGTTATCTTTCCGTGCAACAAAGACAACCTACAATTTGAGTTCTATGTTCCTATTATTCATTTTCATAGGAGCATCCTGTTTTCCCGATTTAAAAAACATTCTTATATGTTCTATCGGTATTACGCCAAGGCAGCAGTTTGATATGTGGTGTTAACATTCTCTACAAACGTTTAGGAGTTATATCCATTTATAAGGAGTAGTTTTCTGGATAGCAAAGGCTATTCAAAGGCTAATCCTGCTTTGGCAGGATTTCAGTGGTCTGATCACAAATATCAAAAGGCTCGTTGAAAAATATTTTTAGTAAACTTGCCTTTCTCAATTAAAAAAAAAAGTCACTTTAGAGAAAATGAAAGACATTTCTCATGAGAGAGTGACACTCATTTTGGTGCTATTTCAATGCACTTAAAAATAATTGAGAGAAGGAAAACTCAATTAAAAGTTTGTTTATAAGAAATGGTTTCCTGGCCAAACGTCGATTAGGAATGTGCCCTTATACGCAGAAAACATTTCAAATGAGTCTTGTTATGAGGTGTCCCTGGATGATAATTTACTTTAAGAATACTTTCTGGTAAAAAAGAAAATATGTACATTTTAAGATGAAATGCTTTCTTGAGTTCATTTGACCCATTCATTGATGTTCTTAAACTATGCTATGGCATATTACATAGTTTTAAGCACCTGAAATTTAAGCCAATTTCAACCTTATTTATACTTACAATTTTCTGTCTCTAAAAGCTTTATCGTATGTTACCAAAACAATTTGAGATTGTTCAAAATACTGGTTTCATACATAGGAGCCCTTTCTAAATGTAACAAATGTAACAAAATGCTGCCTTCTGATATTTTAATAACATATATTTATTGATTTCAGAGAGGAAGGGATGAGAGATAGATAGATAGAAACATCAGTGATGAGAGAGAATCATTGAACAGCTGCCTCCTGCATGCCCCCAACCTGGGATCGAGCTCATAACCCAGGCATGTGCCCTTGACCGGAATCAAACCTGGGATCCTTCAGTCCGCAGGCCCGATGCTCTATCCACTGAGCCAAACTGACTAAGGCTGCCTTCTGATTTTTAAGAAAAAAAGAAAAAGAAAGAAAAGCATTTTAAATTATCTAGATGGAAAAATAACTTATTGGAAGAGAAGACCACTTTGTTTTAAGCCATTATTTTCTCCCCCCTGGTCATATATCAGTGTACTCTGAAATGTCCTTTGTCTGTGAAGGATGGACAAAGCTTTCAGGCTGTTCTAATCCATCACAGGTGGTTGTGGGCACCAAAACCTCCTTCCCGAGAACCCCTCTCCCGCTTTGCTGGTTGGACCGAGTCTAGGTTGCCCAGTGAGAATTGCTCCGAGTCATGAACTGGGGGCCGCAGGTTTCCTGTGGGTTCATGTTCTCAGTGAGTGGAGTCCCATACATCCAGGAACCCAGGTGTCCAGACTGCGAGTGGTGGCCCATTCCTGCTCCTCTCATGTTCCAAAGGCCAGAGCTTCGTCACCACCCAGCCTCCCTTCCTCTCCATCCTCACTGTACCTGCCTAACAGCCTTGTCTTCCACCTACACTCTTGTGGTAGACACCCCCAACTCATGCCAATCCCAGTTGTTAGCTATCTATGATGCAAATTTGATTGTTATTCTTTGGCTTAAAATTCCTTCCAAGGCTCTCCTGCCTCTGGAGTGCAGTGACCTCCCACGGGGTGAAGGGGCCTGCGGGGCTGTCTGAGCTGCCTCTGTGCTCACCAGAGAGGTGGGCTCAGATCGCTGTGACTTTGCTCCTGCTCTTTCCGCCAGCCCCCAGAATTGGACCTGCCAGACAATTCCTGACCATAAAGACGGGAAGAGTTGAGGGGAAGGAGAGTATGTGAACTTCTCTAGGGAGACTAGGATCTGTCCACTCTCCCTTTTTCCCCATGGCTCCTGTATATGGTCTCATCACATTTCCTGCCTCCTCTTGCTAACATGGAGGGCAGGACCAGGCTCCACTCATCTTTGCACCCCAATGCTTCCATAGAGCTGAGCGCATTATTGACACAATTATTTTTTCAATGTCAACTCAACAAGCATCATCAGGCATTGGATGTTTTGCTCTGCATATGGGGTTTCTTTTTTGCTTCATGGGCAATGAAATCTATTTTCAAATGTCTTTAGTTGAATTCATTGGGGGTGACATTGATTAATGAAATTTTATAGGTTTCTGATGTACAAGTCTATCAGTGGGCTTCCAGTGAATAATTGTAAGGAGAGATTGTGGGTGTGCACGTATATTGTCACATTTAAATATTTGGAAGTAATTTTAACCATCACTCCCTCCTGAAGAATAGCTGCTTTCCCCAAAATTGAAATTTCAGATGTGAGATTTGAGAGATTTGGCTGAGAGAAGACTCTTCATTGAAATGTCATGTGACTTACTTGGGCTGAAATCTTTATTCCCTGGTGACGTGAGATCTTCCTGGAACAAGGTGGCCTCTAACAAACTTACACGTGTTCTCGGTGCTTAGGAAAATAGTCAATGGAATGGTGCATAAAAACTGGATTTTTATCAAAGATTTTATTTTGAGCCTCTCATAGATTATAATAAAGCAAATCATTCTATATGTTTCAAGAAAGTACATTATATTTGTGTTTTTATTAGCTCAGCAGAGTAATTTGATAATTGTTACTTTTATGTGGTATGGCTGCAAGAATAGTGGGAAAATGCAGACTTTAGAGTTGGTCGAACCCAGGTTTGAATCTGGTTGGGTCACTTTTTGCTATTATCTTGGGTGAGTTACACCAATCTCCTGAGCCCCAATTTTCTCATTTATAACATGAGATCTAACATATACTCTGGTATTGGAAATTAAGTTTGGTTAGATACCTAATACATAGCAGCCATGGTGCACTGATTATGGTCACACGTTCTATTTAAAACAAACCATTTAATATGAAAAATATATTTTTATATAGAATTATATTATGATTCTCACAGGCATATAAATTACTAATTAGAATTATTTAAACCTGGCCAATTGTTAATGTCTGGGAATGCTATTTCATTTCAATTCTCAAAGCTGCTCTACCACAGCAAAAAAGTCACGGTTTCCTACAGGGAGATTATCAGGAAGTTCTGCAGGGAACAAAACAATTGACATTAAAAATCAGTACTCTGCAATTGTCGCTGTTATTATCTGCCAGAGACTCTGCATAATGCATTTTAAACCACCGAGGCTGGCTGCCACATCCATATGAGATGCTTGAATTTTATGGTGCTTAAATATTTAATGATTCATAGGAAAAATGTGAAACAGGTCCAATAAATTGCATCCCTTTCTCTAACCTGTGGTTGTAAAGTTAAAGACTTTGAAAATGTACCATTTGCAAGATGCCTGGTCTGCTACTGACAATTCAGTCTTCGTTGTACTACAGTTTATAATTTCATTTATTATGTATAAAATTCTGGGATGACATCTCAAAACAACTGTGATGTATCTGGTGTATTTATTTCCTTTCAAGCCAACGTGAGTTCACTTTCTTACCTACCTCGGAATGCCACCTCCCTGCAGCTGGCTTGGGGGGCAAACAGGAGAGGACACAAGGCAGAAGTGGGAGCAGCCAATGGGAAGAGCATGGGCACCCTAAAATGTGATCCCCTTCCCCCAGGAAAGGATGGGATTCCTGAGCTCCAGGAAGCTCTGTCTTGTGCAGGGTGCTGGTCTGGGGGATGGATGGGAAACCAGGCCTCAGGGCCAGGAGTCTACATCAACCTGCTGAGTTGCTTGGGCAGGGGCTGGGGTGCAGACCCTGTGGGTTGAAGTTGCCCCGTTAATTGAAGGAGAAG